GCAAAATCCCCCTCAGTTTGACTGAGGATATGGAACAATGAAATAAGGAAACCGGGGCGAACACTAATGATCATCAGGTTTGACTTCAAAGCTATGTAGTATTTGTCAAATCTTTACCTTCACGAGTAAGTGATTTTACGCCGCTTTCAGAAATATTCCAGCAACACCACAGCAGGAGACGCCAGAGATGGACTTCACACATTGTACATATATGGCGCATCGAACCCGAGCAATCGGCGAACGTCTTAACCACTGGGCTACCCCACTGCCAAATAACGATGGGAACAGCGTTGAGAAACCCCCTTCATTTGCTCACTCTGATTCAAGAGTGATTCAGTTTACTGTAGGCCTATGTTACAGCTGAGGTGGAATTAGGTTTAACTATCAGTTCAACATTTATTCACTTACAGGGTTTTCGGAGAAGGTGGGGTGGACATAAATCATAAAGTCCAAAGGTTAGGGGTAAACGCTCTTCAGGGATAGTGTTTACAAATTTACAAACGTGATGAAACGTAACGGTATTTAATTAATTATAAGTCACTAGAGTGACGTCGCGTTTGAAGGTACTTTGGAAACATTACTTGCAGCATAATTTGTGTGTTAAAATCGCCGCAAATGAAGTTCCGTCATAACAATGGTGGTTGTCAAATCCTTGGCATCATCGGTGGAAGTGACTTCCGATGTATGCAGACTATCAGATTATCCGAGCACTTTTGTTGGTTGGTGTAATGTCAGTGACTAAACGCATTATTGAGAATGAATATAGTGTGAGAAAAGGCAGATATCAGCTGATATTTATAAAACTTTTCATGTTGTTAATATGCCTTTTTAGAAATCAGACATGCATAGGTGCTTTCCATAACGGTTCTGTGTTCATGGGGTCAAAGAGACGTGGCAACTTCCACTCATGCCGATATGGTAAAGGGAGACAACTTCCACGGTATTAAAGTTATCTCCCTTAGATTGGGATGCAAAGCACTCTGAGCTCATCTGGGACAAGCTGCAGTAAAATCTACTAATATGGCTCCCTTTGTTACTCTGGCATAACACTGTCGTGCGAGTGTGCTGGTTTGGTCAAGCATGCTTATGATTCCTGAAATGACAATAAGGAAACCCCTGCCATGAGACAGCAAAGTTCTCACATATCAGTAAATAGAGTAATCCTTTGTGGTATGTACCACTAAAAAAAAGAGTCTTTGTCCCAAGCTGCCATAAAATCTTTACCTGCCACAGCCTTTGGTACATGGGAGTAAAGAAGCTGATGGCGACACTCTTTTGCCATGAACATGGCCAACATCTTGTCTCTTTCCCTTGTGTGATTCAAGAGTTGATTTGTGGTTTTACCTGTCACATCAACGTCATGAGTAACCTTACAGGCTCTCAGAGTAGGATGGCATGCAGTCAATCCAGTCACCAAGTCTGTTAGTGAACCTAACAAGAGTAGTGGAATATGTAGTTTACTGAGAAAGTGAAATACCATATATAACATAGGTTAAATCTCACTATCAGAACCATTTTATCACCTCTCATGACCAGCACTGGCTTTCACAACTAAAACTCCACATGTGATTACAAACATAGGTTTGAAGTGTCAAGACTGTATTTTATACAGTAACCTATAGTGAATAATGTCATTGAATTAGAACCATATAGCTGGAACATTGCTGGGTGGGTAAAACTAAATTCACTCACTCATTGAATTTAAAGCCCATCTCTGTCACTCATTGGATTGAACAGTGATTCAGTTTAGCTATGTTTCAGGTGAGGTAAAATGGGGAATAAGGTAATGTTTAAGATTGTTGCAGCGTTATTCATGTGTGATTGCCTATACTACTCTGGAATCACACAGCTTTTATAGTGAAAGCACACTGAGAAACCATGCAGTAGTTTAACAATTCCCCACTCAAACACCTTATACTGACTCACAGCCAACCATTCCATGTTTTACTGTCAGTTGGTGTCATGTTGCTCTACTAACTAGAGTTTGAAATCCAATTCTAGGCAATTACTGACGGACTGAGTTTAATTTTACGACCGCTTTTAGCAATATTCCAGCAATATTACGGTCGGGAGACACCAGAAATGGGTTTCACACATTATGCCCATGTGGGGATTCGAACCCGGGTCTTCGGCGTGACGAGCCAACGCTTTAACCACTAGGCTACCCCACCGCCCCTCTAGGCAATTAAGGCTGCCATATAGCTGGAATATTGCTGAGTGCGGTGTAAAACTAAACCCACAATCTAGGCAATTAAGGCATAATAGTCTAACACAATGCAATTCAGCGTCCATGGTTATCTCCCTTGGATAGGTCAGAAACCTATGATGGGTTAGAAACCCAGTTTGCCCCAGTCATGTAGGTTTCTCAGCAACATATCCATGCTAATGGTTTTCACCATGTGCTAATTGTCCAAGACTTGCATCACTTCTGACTTTCCTCCCTCATTAAACTGATGCCCCATTATGAAACTTAAAGTTGGTATTAAACCCAACTCACTCACTCACTTTAACCTTACAGCAATGTTGTATAGTGTCAAGATACATCTTGAAGCATCCTTGGGCATGGTGGGGTAACCTAGTGGTTAAAATGTTTGCTCATCAATCTGGAAACCTGGTTCGATTCCCCACACGGGTTCAATGTGTGAGGCCCATTTCTGGTGTCTGTCACTCACTCACTCGCTCACTCAGACATGCTCACCTAAAGTGTTTGCTCATCAAGCTAAAGACTGGGTTCGATAACCCAAATGGGTGCAATGTGTGAGGTCCATTTGTGGTCTCTCATTCACTCACTCACTCAATCAGGCATGCTCACCTGGTAATATATTCCAAGCATCAAACTGCAGCAAATATTCATAAAGGCATGAAAGGGTTTGTATTTTTTTAATTTTAGCCCTTCCACGTTGCTTCTGGTCTACATTTACATACAGTCATGTGATCAATATGGTTTCCATGGCAACGTGTCTGGTACTACTAAAACTTGAAAATATGGACGACAATTGGTGAGAAATCGCCATCTTTATCATATATTCAGTGATGTGCCCACAATCTTCACTGAGGTAGAACAACAAATAAATAACAGAGTTCAACTTACGCATCTAGATAAGCAGATCCTCCACCAACAAGTTCAAATCTAGTTAAACACTTGATCATGTTGGCCACTGACTACAAACAGAACACCAGACAATGCCAGTATCACGATGGCAGTGTGTTAAACAATACACACTTTAAATATTACGAATATTTCTAGTTAAATCAAGTCAGTTATTAAACATGTGATCCAACTTTAACTTAACCCGTTCAGGTCAAATTGTTGTGTTTTATCAATCATTTGAGTCATTTCAAAGTGGTCAAACACAACTCAATTTAGCACAATGAAATGGCATATCAGTTCACAGATGGTTAATTATCTGGAAGGAAAGGAAAAAATATTCAAGGAACACATTAAATGATAATGTTTCAATGAAAATCTTCTTAAATATTATTGATTTAATTTATTTCTAAACATGTTCAAAGGATTATCAAGATATTGTTCATTCTCAAATTTGAACTTGTCGGTGACGAGATGAAAATGCCAAGTTTGCATACAATACTCAAAGTGGCTATATGTCTGCCTATTGTACAGTGGATCGAAAGTTCAGTGGACATCAGCGAGGAAATTGTACTGACCAATATATTCTGAGAAAATCTACAAATGAGATGACAACAAAAGCAGCAAATTAAGTCACTGCTGTGGAAAATATACATGTTATGGTATCAATATACATGACATTTTCTTTACAAATATAATACAGAAAAACAACTTATTAAAATGAGACTTGATAGAGTTATCTCCCCTTCCCGTGTCATGTATATTTTTTAGTGTACCAGTCGGTGATAATGAATACTTCATCATCATTTTCATTTTGTAATTTACCCTAATTAATTCTTTTCATGAAGATTTTATACTGGAGAGATTTAAATGCATCAAAGGGAGATAACTCTTCAGCAAGCTCAAAAAGTTACACATATATCTCTTGAAATAGTTTCCCATTATAGTGATAATGCTGGTATCTCCTACTGACGTGGGGATTATAGCAAGGGACAAACAATAATCACACAATAGTACATTCAAATGTGAGCAGCTTTATTCTAAAACTTTCTGGGATGACTTGACTTGTCTCAGGCAAAGACTTTTGACATTGTTGGGTTTTCTTTTCTAAAATTTCACTTTCAGTTTTTAAATTGTCTCCTTTTCAGTCAGAAGTTTCAAATTTGGGTCTAAGAGTTGAAATATATTTACTTTTGAAAAAGATAATTCGATGATATGTAAAAATAGCCTGAGAACAAGAACTGGTTTAATGCATGACTGTAGTTAATCTAGTGTATATTTTTATGAAAGATGTTGCATTTATTACTAACAGGCAATTGAAATATTCAACGATATTTATGCTGTCATGTTTCAAGAAGTTTGTAGTCAATAATTTAGATAATTCATGGATTTTATACAAAATACTTAAATTAATGTTAGCAGTATCGAATTAAAACAACAATAACAATTTACTATCATTAAAAAATTAACAACAGAAAATTGGCAGACACAACAGCAGGTGACTACAAAACTTCACATTGAGAAAATTATACATTGTGATGTTATTTCCGTTTCAATGAAGTCCTAGCTTAGTGGCGATGATGGTGAAAAACAGATAACACGGAGTCGGAGACAATACTTGATATGTACTTCTGACCTGAATTCTTCACATAATCAAGAAACCTTGTCAATATTTAAATTTTGAAAACATAATCAGAAACGGTGGCTTGAGATATTAAAATATTTTAAATAAACAAAAAATCTTTGCCATCCAAAACAGACACCCATCTATTTGAATTATAATTTTGAGATGAGAATCAATATTTGTATAAATTTGAGATCACATTTCAACAAACATCTTATTATACTATCAAGCACCACTGATTATCTTTAAGACATTAAAAATATTAATTTGTATTGGCAAATAAATTAATTTTCGCTGGCAGTGGAAGAGGTGACATTAAATCTCATTGGAGCATATATCCCAACTGTTATCTTACGCGTAGAAAATACTTTAAAATTGTCTTGTTTCAGAAATAGAATTATACGCTGTTTAGTAATTATCAAAATAAAGGACATGACAAATTACTGGTATGACAAATGATAACTTGTTATTGTGAACATCTGAAATTTTAGATCTAAATACAAGATATTTGAAACACGATTGCAACAAAACATTCTATATATTTCGAAAACACTGATTAAAAAACCTTTATGAAAACACTTATGTTATTATTGGTGTGATATATTATTTGAATTGAATAAAACCTACTTTGAAAGATGTCTACAGGGAAATGCCATTTCTACATTGTCAACGGAGGGAGGCATGCCGTCACAATTATAGGATGGGGCTACATATTGGTTGCCATAGTGACGGGGGTTATAAATAGCTAAATATGTAAATGACTCAAGTTTTATGAAAAGAAAACAACTTTATCACAATCAGACCATTAAAGTTTAATATAAAACAATTCTAAGTAATTTGGTACATGAAGCATCTCCAGATATCTGAATGCAGCCTCAAGGGTATTGATTGTCCTCAAATGGTTGCCAACGATCATGTGACCTAGTCACGTGACTCTGCGTCATAAAATTGTTCGGACACACCATCACACATATCCATGATTTGAGGATGAACAAGTCACAAAAACATCCTGACGAAGATTTACATCACGTTAAGAAAATAAACGTACACCGTTTTCAGATGCTTCTTGTCAGGTGTTGGATCAGACAGAAGCACTTTGTACAAGGTAGACAACTCTTCCTGGCAGATATTGCTGTCCATTTATAACCACATCTTGGTTTTATCCTGTGAACTTTTTCCCTTCACAACCTTTCTTTGGTTAAAGCATGTATATCGTCCAATCAGAAACATCTAACAAAGTTTCTGACCAATCACCTTCAAGCAGGCTGGTCAATGCTTTTCTCGAGTACATCAAACATCAAAATGTGGCACTTGAGTTTCTTTCAGCACTTCTTGCAGCGACATCGGCGGATGACAGGAAGCTCGTAGATATATGTCGAGCCGTCAGGACAGAATAGTCGAACTTTCCGCGTCTTGATCTTTTTCGGTTTACAGCAAGAGTTGTCTCCACAATGGCCCTCACAGCGACGGTACTTTATCTTGGCTCGGGACTTACACTTGGTCTTAGGGTCGATGTAGATGTCACGGAAAACAATCTCAGTGCAAGAAGGTTCTGTAACAGTAAGGAGTGTATGATGAGGAAAACTGTTCTGTTACTTAGGACTGACTATCATCTATGATTAAATGGGTTTTTTTCTGCACTAGTGCAATGATTAACTTTGTTATACATCCACAACCAGTAATGTAATTGTCTGATGGAGTAACAATTTGGTAAGATGTCACCATTGCAGCCTTGTTAATCCAGATGTTACAACTGCCAGAGAAACCATTCATAGTGAAACCATCCCAGTGAAACCATTAATAGGGAAACCATCCCAGTGAAACCATTAATAGGGAAACCATCCCAGTGAAACCCTCCATTTTGAAAACATTGCAGAGAAACCCTTCACAGTGAAACCATCCCAGTGAAACCATTAATAGGGAAACCATCCCAGTGAAACCTTTAAAAGGGAAACCATCCCAGTGAAACCATTAATAGGGAAACCATCCCAGTGAAACCTTTAATAGGGAAACCATCCCAGTGAAACCATCATAGGGAAACCATCCCAGTGAAACCAATAGGGAAACCATCCCAGTGAAACCATTAATAGGGAAACCATCCCCCAGTGAAACCATCCCTTTAAACCATTAATAGGGAAACCATCCCAGTGAAACCATTAATAGGGAAACCATCCCAGTGAAACCATTAATAGGGAAACCATCCCAGTGAAACCATTAATAGGGAAACCATCCCAGTGAAACCTTTAATAGGGAAACCATCCCAGTGAAACCCTTCATTTTGAAAACATCCCAGAGAAACCCTTCATAGTGAAACCATCCAAGTGATATCCTTTCCAATAGTGAAACCCTTCATTTTGAAAACATCCCAGAGAAGCCCATAGTGAAATCATTTTAGTGAAACCATTCATCCCAGAGAAACCCTTCTAGTGAAACCATCCAAGCGAAACCATTCATAGTGAAACCATTAATAGGGAAACCATCCCAGTGAAACCCTTCATTTTGAAAAAATCCCAGGGAAACCATTCATAGAGAAACCATCCAAACCATTTCCAGTGAAACGGTGCAGGTCAGCAAATTTCCAGATTAACACAATATGTAATGGTACTCTGCATGTTTTCTGAGATAATTGAACTCAAGTCCAGGTTTCCTGATGGATAGAATCTCTGTTAAATGGTTGCACTGTTTTCACATATAACATTATGAGCATGCACCTGTCCTAAGTATTATCTACTTGATGCTGTGCCACAGCTTCCTCTTGTCATCAATACTATTTTGCACAAATAAGAAACATGGCTCTGTACTATACCTGAGTTATCAAGAAATAAATGTCACCATGCTTCAACTGGATGGTAATTCTGTGAAGAGTTCTAAAATATTCATACTTCGGATCATCTATACAAAATTTCAGTTCCATAGATTTTGTAGTTTCAGAGCTGACAAAACAAATGAAGTAACGTTGCAACAGGGAAGTTTGAATGTCAAAGGTCAAAGCTCAGTAAAACTAGGTACCAAGCTCATGACATTTAAAAAATTAGACTTCACTTTCAGTCATATTATGTTACTCTGCTTACTACTTACATAAAAAATTCTGACGATACACAAAGGAAAGTGTTTATAATGGGCAATGTTTTCAATATGGCTGCCATGGTGTTCATCTTTAAAACTGGACCAGAATTTTTCAGCACCTTTTAGATGCAGCAAAGCTATTGCCATTATACATAAGTTCAGCTCAATAGGGGCGGTGGGGTAGCCTAATGGTTAAAGCGTTGGCTCGTCACGCCGAAGACCTGTGTTTGAATCCCCACATGGGTACAATGTGTGAAGCCCATTTCTGGTTTCCCCCGCCGTGATATTGCTGGAATATTGCTATAAGCGGCGTAAAACCAAACTCAGTCAGCTCAATAGACCTTTTAGTTCAAAGCAGATGACAGAACTGTTAAAGTTAGAAAGCCGCCGTAATATTGCTGGAATATTGCTAAAAGCGGTGTAAAACTAAAATCCCTCACTAAAGTTCAAAACGACAAGGTGGATAAAGAACAAAGCCATGACACAAGCTCTCTACATAAGGTGAGCTACAAAAAGGAGATGGAAGCTCACCTGGTCAAACACAGATTACATACAGTGGCATCGCTATGCTAGTGTGGAACAATGTTCACTCACACACCCAAAACAAGCAAAGGACAGTAGGATAGTCTTGTCTAACACCTGACTGAGGTAGATGTATTTTGAATCATGAATGAACACATCACAACAGACGTTCCCCATCAAGGTGAAGGTCACAACATCAATGAACAAATCAGGCCATGATGGATTTCTGTCTCGTCTCAGGCAGTATGGGAAGATGAACTTAACCCTGCTCTCTCTTGACAAATGTTCCTATCAAGACGGACTGTGATGATTGCATATTGTTTTTCAACATTCTGACTTTCAAGTGCATTGTTGAACATGAAGATTTAAAATGACAATGCCAAAAGCTCTCATGACGAATGTCCCTATACAGCTTGACAGTGATGGAGGATATAATCGTTTTCAACATTCTGACTTTGAAGTGCTTTGTTGAAAATGAAGATTATAAATGACAATGCCTAAAAGCTCTCTTGATGAAGGTCACTATACTTGTTTTCGCAGAGCTTGACTGCAATGTAGTATACAATTGTTTTTCAACATTCTGACTTTAAAGTGCTTTGTTGAAAATGAAGATTATAAATGACTGCCCAAACGAGCCCACAAGTATAGTCACTCACAATAGAGAAGTTGTTATTCATAAAAAAGTTTCATGTTTTGTGATCTTTGGTGGAACATCAAATCGATATAGAAAGAGACAAGCATGCAAGCATGTGCAAGCTTAATAATCAAGTGCAATAAAATAATGACGTGATCTGAATCCAGCAAAATCTTTTTCAACTCATGCCGTCGATCTACAGTGAAAAACATATCGTGATCCGCAGGTGTTGGATAATGATGAACCTACATGCACATACTTGTGTGGCATTGTATGATAAGATGCTACCTGTGTGAACATCTCAGTTACCTTTGTCACAGAATGTGCCCGAGTAGCCCCGCCTGCATTTACACCTGTAGCCTGATTTGTTCTTCCTCGGCTTGCACCTACCACGCTGACACATGTGGTTCTGGCAGGGGTCAAACTGGCACCCTGGGGTCACGCGGTGACGGTGACGCGACGACAGAAGGTCCTGCTGCTTGCGGTTGATGAAGACCTTGCTTAGGCAACCTGCAAAAAAGAGTCCTCATTAAGGCCCTGTATGGAAAATTTGAAAATGTGCAAATTTTTGGAGAATTTATAATGCTTTCTTATAGTTTGTCGATGCTAATGCTGTTGATCACTGGATTGTCTGGTCCAGACTCGATTATTTTCAGACCGCCGCCATATAGCTCGAATATTGCTGACTGCGGCATAAAACTAAACTGACTCACTCACTTATAGTTTGACCTTTTAGATTGTATAGTAATACTGTTATTTTACTTTTATACTTTTACTATATGCCTCTATAGCAAGGTGTGAATTTTGTGCAGTAGTTAACAAAAGTGGCTTGTACAACAAAATGTACTCTGACCATCTTCTGGCTCTGTTTGAACACTTAGAAAGATTTTTCAAAATTCCTCTCTTTCAAAATGTTAAATACTCTTATTACAGACCAGTGCAAACTTTGATAAAATTTACAATTTTGATGCTCTTAAATTTAGTTTTAATTTCTATGATAACTTCTGTTGGTTCATGATTTTCCATGGTTGCAAGTGGCACATCCGATCATCATGGTTGAATATACCTCCCAAATATACCTGTACTCATCTTTGGTTAGGCACCACCAAACCTTTAAGTATCATAAGATTCAAATGGCACTCAAAAGAAACTAGCTCTCAGGTGGTGAATCAGTCTTGAAAAATTATCCAAAGAACAGAACTAGAACACGCTGGATTAAGTACATCCAACATAAAGATATTCCTCCTACAGTAAAACCTTGACCACTTTTGACTGAAATAAGTGTTAGATCATCCTTAATCTTCAAATAACAGTGAATAGGACAGAGGACCATTGAAAGTATTTTTGTTACCTTTGAAACTGGTTCCATCTCTCACGTGCCACTTCTTAAAGGCTCGAGTGTTCACATTGGCTGGCAATCCTCCCAGAAACAGATCGTCCTTGACATTGAGGAAATCCTTTGGGCCCTCATTGATGACTGTTCGGGGGACTCCAGAATTATCAATCTGCATGGTGAAGTTCTTCCGTTTGATGTTCATCTCAAGGACGTGCTGCTTGCCGTCCGCCACACGCTCGTAACTAAACATTGTCGATACAGGATAGTTCCCCACATCGTAACTAACGCGTATGTGTCCGCGGAACACCTCCACGCCCACATGCTGCTCCCTCCCAGCATACATGATGATGCCTTGGTTTGAGTCGGTGATGAAGACGATAGTGATGTTGACTCCTTTTTGGAAGTCTACTGGTGGGAGCTGAATATACGAGTCCTTTTCGTTCAAAGACACACTGGATAATTTCTCACATTTCTTGCCATCAAAACCTGAAACACAACCAACTGCACTAATATCTGCCAAAATTCTCGTTTTCTTATGTCCCATAATGCAATATGACAAATGAAGGATGATTCATTACGGATTGGAATAAAAACAGTTCCTGACAATGGCACCAGACACAAAGCAGAGCAGTTCAGAGTTTCGAAATTGAGAGAAGAGACAGTAAAATGCTTCTTAGCTTGGACAGATCTGCAGAAGTTCATTCTGACACTTAAACATGCAAAGGATTGGAGAGGGACCTTATTCCAACAGGAGTTGTCTCCCTTTGATCTATGAACTTTTCAAATACTTGTCTGGGTTAGTGTGCATCTTTGTGCTGTTCATCTATGTGTGATGAAAGATATAAAACTGTGACTGATACAATTTGTTGTTATTTGTTACAACCTAAACACAATATCGCATTTTGTGATTCTCAAAGACATAAACTCTTAAATGGTATTATACAAAGGGAAGCTGGGGAGACTTAACGTAGGGTCAAGCACGACTATACAGTAAATATACTACACAATATTGAGATATGTAAAGGGGATTGCTATCAACACATATCATGTACAAGGAAGGGTAATTATCTCTGGGAAGACAATGGGCTTGGCAAGGGTCTAGTATTACACATAAGTCTGTTGCTAGGTAACACAGATAATTATGATGAATGGGGTAATTATTATTTAAGATATCTATCTACAGAAGAAAGTTGAAGTTTTAGGGAAAAAGTAAATGAAATTAATCTTTAGCATTATGAAGCGCTAGGCTAAAACAAAGTAAATATATTAATAATGATACGCTTAACGAGCAGGTGTGTGATGGATATTTGACCTTACACTACTGTTAAAATCTATAGTGGAAGCAGGATGATATTTTATGACTGCTTCAACTGAATTGGAAACAATTGAGAATTTATACTGTGTCCACGTAATTTATGTCCAAAATGTTAAACTGACAATTTCAACAATTTTTGTCAAATTGTATTTGACAATTATTGATGGCCTCATGTCAGGTAAAAATTTCTTCATTAATGTGATATAGTATGTCAGTAAAATTTATTAGCACTGAAGCATATGGAAGCTGAGATTTTTGCTCAGGTAGATATTATTTTTAAATCTCACATATATAAGTCTCACATCAAACCTGCTTGTTAGGCACACCCATCAATATATGTTACATGTCTCAATGAACATTTCTCTCTTAATTATACACCAAGAATGTTTTAAATGCCAAACAATAATTAAATGAAAATAGCCAATCACAAGAGAAATATGGTCTGATTTCAAAAGAGTTATCTCCCTTGAACCTGAAATACCATGAAAATTTTAGGCCTGATTTTCAAATATTGAAAATAACATTTGAACCAGTTACATTTTCTTATTGATTTTTTTGGGTTTTTAAAAATATTTGTTTATTGATTATATCGAGACATGAAACACAGACATTAAGAAAGCAACAAAAGCACTCCTAGTATACCTGGTGCGCATTTACACATATAATCAGCTTGTTGCATGCCATGGGGCTGATAGCAGATGCCGTTGTTTTGACAAGCATGGAACCGGCAGGCGCCGGACGCTTGTTGTCGTAGTAACGGTAATGCGAGGACAGGTGCAATCTCGCAATGTTTGCCGGAGTAGCCACGATCACACATGCAAGAGTAAGTGTTTAAGCCGTCCAAACACGTGGCACTGTTCTGGCAGGTGTGGGACTTACAATCGTCAACATTCTCCGAGCAGTTCTTGCCTTGGTATCCTGGGGTACATTCACACCTATTGGGAAAATAATTTGTTATGTTTCTCATGATAAATGAAAGAAAGGATGCACTCGAAATCTGGAGGTCATCAAATAATTACAAACGTCATCAGAATGCTACTTACCTGAAACTAGTTGCCCAAACACAGCACACCTTAGGTCCAATACACAAACATAAGACCCACATCAGGTACATCACCATCATGTCTTGTTTATTTCACATTTAGCCTCCATTAGCCGCCTCTTACGACAAGCATGGATTACTGAAGACCAATTCTAACGCGGAACTTCATGGAACTATCAAACATATTAACACTAGTTGATTATAGCATAAACCTGTGGGACCCTTATAACTATTACCGTATATTACTGTAATACATCTTTCGTACCTACCGTGATAGCACCAATTTCACATTAATACCTATAGATAAGCCAACCCCCTTCTACTGGCTGCTTTTTTTGGTCTTCAAAATTCGGCTTACCTATGGTAATATATGGTATTCACAAGAAACATTACTATATAGCCACAGAGCATGAAAGTGTTCTACATCTGGGACTTCATTTGTTCATGACATCAATTTACATGAAAACGTACAACATTATTGATGACTGCAGGCTGATTGCAATTAGCAATGTTTCCATGTAAATCCTTACACCAATAAAAGCTGGAATGACGACACCATTAATGAGAGGAAATCCTTGGTCATCACTTTGGCTTGATAGTGGTGGAAGAATCTATATCAAAATGCTGCTAATGCAATGAACTAGAACTTGTTGTCCATTGTAATTGTTCTATTTACTCTGGACTTCAACTTACTCGAAATTCCAGAATGATAATCAAAGATGACATTTCTTCAGAAATTGTTCTCAATTACTTTGACATGTCCATGAAATGACAACAATGTAACTCTACAAACATTACTGTAGAACCAGAGGATGTAACTGTTATGATGAATATTGTGGAGATAGACTGCTTGTTTGTTGATGGGTTCTGTGACACGGCGACGTACCTGTAATCGGAGCCGGTGCTGACACATGTAGCGCCGTTCATGCAGTAGTTAAACCCAGCCTTGCAGAACGGAATCCTTGTCTCACACCTCTTGCCTGAAACACATGACACAAAGCTGAATATATGCAACAAGGGATGAATGAATCTTGTTTTATGCCACGGTGTTCTAGCGATATCACCATTACCCGTACACAGTTGTGAGTGAGCGTTTGAGTTTAGTTCTATGCTGCTTTTAGCAATATTCCAGCAATATCATGGCGGGGGACACGAAACATGGGCTTCACACATTGTACCCGTGTGGGGAATCGAACCAAGATCTTCAGCGTGCAGAGCCAACTAATCAGGGATGTCACAGTCTAGGAGGAGTTGCTCCCCTTGATATATAGGTCCCTGTACATCATCCATACTAATACTGACTGAGTTTGGTTTTTTTACGCCGCTTTAAGCAATATTCCAGCAACATCACGGTGGGGGACACCAGAAATAGGCTTCACACATTGTGCCCATGTGGGGATTCGAACCCGGGTCATCGGCGTGATGAGCCAACGCTTTAACCATTAGGCTACCCCACCGCCCCTCCATACTAATAACTCATCAAGAGGGGGTGGAGTAATTGCAACTTGTGCTATGATTGGTTTTGGGTTTGAATCCCGTATCCTTCCCTATGGGTGTCGCAATACTTGGTTTGTGTGCTCCGTGTTGTAAGTGCTCACGAACTGGTTCATATCTATGAAACTCCATCTCCGTGCAGAACCGCTGTGACATAATGTAAATAGTCCCCCTCCCTACACAATGCCCGACTACGTGATCAAGGCTGGTGTTTTACCCATATATCCTGGTGCACAGTGGCAGGAGTAGGACTGGATCTCATCCACGCAGGTGGCGTTGTTAGTGCAGGAGTGGGTGATACAGTCATCGATGTTGGTCTCGCACCTCTCGCCCTCAAACCCGTCCAGGCAGTGACACCTACAACGTGAGATCGGATACTTAAACAGGTAATCACACAGTAATATCAGAATGTAACATATGTCTATTCATAGCAACAGAATGTCACCTCCAAATCCATCAAAAACATCCTAGAGGAAAGAGAGTACTGCTAAATGCCAGTTACAACTATAATTTAGACATTGGAAACATTTAGTGTGACCACATTACTGATTCTGAATCTACAGTTGTGTTGCAACAAAACACTATAGTATGACGCTTTCATTGTTCCCAACTAGTTATCTAGTACTGTCTGTGTGAAGTTCTGAATACTTACTGAAATCGACCAAACTCCATAACTGTGCACTTGCCGCCATTATTACAGGGATTACCAAAACAGGCGTCAATCTGTTTCTCGCACTGGTAACCATGGTAACCAGCTGAACAATCACATGTAAAGTTCTTGAAGTCTTTAAGGTGACACTTTCCGCCATGAAAACATGGTTTCTTCAGACAAACATTACATTTCTCGGCCACTTGAGGGTCAGGGTCACCTGAAAACAACACGTGATACACCATGTGATAATAAGTCGTAACACATGACTCCTGAGGACTTCCTGATACAATGGGAGGCAATGAAGGTAAATATGACAAATAGTTGATGTGGTTTATACAGTTTTCTTAAGATACGTTTTAATCTGCTGTACAGCCTCAAGTCAGCCCAGACAGAAATGAGTGAGTGAGTGAGTTTAGTTTTATGCCACAATCAGCAATATACCAGCTATATGGTGGTGGTCTGTAAATAATCGAGTCTGGACCAGACAATCAAGTGATCAACAGTGTGAGCATTGATCTGTGCAATTGGGAACCAATGACATGTGTCAACCAAGTCAGCGAGCCTGACCACCCGATCCCGTTAGTCGCCTCTTACGACAAGCATGGGTTACTGAAGAGTCTAACCCGGACCTTCACGGATCTCAGTTTATAAGACCAGACACTCCAGTGATCAACATCATGAGCATCAATTGGGAACCAATGACATGTGTCAACCAAGTCAGCAAGCCTGACCACCCGACCCCATTAGTCGCCTCTTATGACAAGCATGGGTTACTGAAGGCCAATATTCTAACCCGGATCTTCACGGGTCCAGACAGAAATGAGGAGGAATGAGAGGCCTACTAGTCATCTACTTTATACAACTCATGGAGTTACTTTGAGGAATATCACCAGAAACCGACATCCAGGGTATGAATACCAGTTCATCCTGATTATGTGTCTAGACTTGTCAGCTCCCTATCCATGCTAGTGGGTATCTCCCAAGTGTAAAATGTCTAAGACCTACATTACTTTGGGCTTTCCTACCTTTCCAAATTTAATCATTTTCATATTTTTAAAATCCAACTCACCCACTCACTGAAAGTGAAATGACTACACAGACATATCCTGCTTACCAAATTGTACTCCTTACTTTGATATAATGCTCATATAACTTCTATTGTCATGTGGACAAAGTATCAGACCTTGGATCAGAATCCCTTCATGTGACTTAATAATATAATTATTTACTTTAATTTAATGTTTGCTACACTGGTATTAAGTGCTGGAGTAAAATAGCTGAATATGTCTGAATATTTTGTGACGACCTTACCAAGACATTCAAAGTAGTGTGACGGTGTGGTGAGGAGAAGCTTGTCCTTCATCTTCTCAGGTCCAACACACTGTGCGATTCCTGGTTCGATGTAGTCACGCTTGATCCAGTCCGACAGCCACTTGAGGTTGCAGTCACAGTACATAGGGTTTCCACCCAGTGCACTACAGAGACACATAGACAAATCAATAACTGGAGTCATGCTTTATATGATTACAAACATTTTCAAGCCAATCAAAATTCAACTGAGGCTTTTTCAAGGCCATATTGACAAATTCAAGGTTTTTCAAGACGACAAAGTCAAGGTGTATACACTTGATAGACATTATATTTTACTGAAGATGTATCAGCATGCTCTAACTATATTGAGTTTATTCATGTTAGCTCATTCTGACTAAATGATTCTGATGGGATAAAGACGTTGCCTTTAGTTATGGGTTTGAACACAATCAAGGGGAGACAATTCTTGACTACATCTGACTTCTACCTACATGTGAGTGAGTGCAACAAGATCCTTGAAGGCATTGTAAGGGATCACAGACAGGTTGTTCCCATGGAGAGACCTGCAAAAACATGAGAAAACTTTCTTTCACATTTACATCACTAAAACCTGACTTATATGTAGTCGGAATATTCTTTTTGGAATTTGTTTGTGTTGAATTAATATATAACAGAAAGGAGCCATAGAATCTCTTCACTGGGTACTGAAGAAATCTAGCCTTACCATAACATTGTAGACTTCCTAGTAATTTTTAATAAGGTCTATAGTTATACACAAACACCATAATCTGATAATTATTGAGATTGGATTGATTTATTTAATATCTGCAACATCAGATTAGCAAGGAACATTGTGAGATCACTGAGTACTGCAATATTCCAGGGTATACTTGCACAAAGCAATCTTAGAGCTATGACAATTGTAACTCCCATACTCCATCATTGACTTAAGATAGTTGTAGCGTTAGGATGGCTTTGTGCAACTGGGCCTAGTACTTACAATATCCTCAGTTCCTTGAGGCCGGAGAAACTGGTGTCCCCCATACACTGGATGTTGTTGTAACTCAGGATCCTGAAACAAAAATACCAGGATTACCATGTGCTTCCTTCCCACCATGATGTAGCTACAGACAGATGACATGAATCATTCTTTGTTAATCGACATACATTATACTTGTTTACTGTGGCGCGTGGTGGCGCGTGGTCCTGTGCTCAAAGCTCAGGTCACAAATCGGTGAAGTTAAGCAGCGTCGAGCTCAGAGAGACCTTGGATGGGTGACCGTGTTTGGCAGCTTGACTCCTGAGAGTTTCTAGGACTTGAGTCCTGCCCCACAACGAAGCACATGTGACACATGTGGTCTCACCTTAGGCAAGTGAGTTTGTTCAAAATTGTCTCTGTTCACCCAGCAGGAAAATGGGTACCCGGTGGAAAAAAGTCATATGACTATAACCTTCTAGCGCCTAACAGGCAGCTTGGGTTATCCAGGGTAATAATGGCCTTGATTGTTAGCGTTATGAGCATACCTAGTGTGGAGTTTGGCGCTATATAAATGGACACATTATTATTATTATTACAATGCTATATGAAACAGTAAATGTAACTTAAACATAATTTAAATCAAATTTAATTGAATGTAACTTGTGGAATAAAAACAGTCTATAATATATATATATATATATATAATAATGACAACAACAATAATAATAATTAGTTTGAATGAGTTTAAATGAAAATAAAAAATATCAAAGAGAATATATTTTTACATGTACTGGTATAATTCCTTAAGATAAACAACAAAGCACTTGATACGCATATTAATATGGTAATTTGCATCAATATAGTTTGGCTTTGCAATATCACTTCTATAAGGATGATGTTCCAGTTCTTCTGAACAATATTTAGTCCTGCAGCTGCTCTAGAGACCGTTAGGACCGATAATGGCAGCTGGTACTTACAGTGTTGATAGCTTGGTCAGATTAGCGAAGATCAGTTCTGGCAGGGTCTCAATATTGTTGTGACTTAAATCCCTGAAATCATAGATAATTTTCATAGAATTTGTATGATCATTTTATTCATATTTATGATAATTATTAAATAAGGTTTTAGGATGACAGGCAGATGATGTCGACAGTATTTATGTATAGCATTTCACGTCAACCTGTCATCATTTGGTGATGGACTAAAAAACTTACAGTTTTTGGAGTTTGGTAAGCAAGCCTATTTCCATTGGGATTTTGGTGATCTCGTTGACGTCAAGATATCTGCAACACAAAGTGAGGGACTTATGCCAGTTAAGAGTTTATAGGGGTGTGTGTTATGAAATACACAATGCTTTTAGACAGTTTGGCATGCATTAGCCTAGTGGTTAAATGGCTGGTTCTTCACATTGAAGGCCTGTGTTTGATTCCCATATCTGGCGTTCCCAGAATGTCCATTCAAGAGGTGTTTTGAAGCAGAAATTAGGTAGCTGTTTGTTTCAGGTCAAGCAAGCAGACATGTCGGTGATTTTCTGGGTGCCTCACAAAATAATGTCTAATCAAAACTGAGTGAGTGAGTATGGTTTTACACCGCTTTTAGAAATATTCTAGCAATTTCGTGGTGGGGGACACCAGAAATGGGCTTCACACATACCGGTAGTACCCATGTGGAGAATCGAACCCAGGTGTTTGGCGTGACAGGCGAACATTTAAACCACTAGGCTACCCCACCGCCCCATCTAATCAAAAGGTAGTATATATGCATATTGATTGAAACCATGTGGAAATTGCACTATGCATTCAGCTATTGAAGAGAGTAGGGCCCCCTAATTCTATCCAGGTCAAACTGTTACTCATACCCGGGCTGCTGGGTTTCAGTATAGTGATAAATATCTGAGACCTGTATCACGTGAGGTCTTCCTCTCACATTACGCTTACATGCTGTGATATGACTAGCATAGACATTAAACCCAACTCACTCACTCACTCTAACTAGTCCTATACTTACAGTTCTGTGGTGTCGAGTGGGATGTACTTCGGGATGTCGGTCATGTCCAGGTGGCTGCAGCGGACCTTGGTGCCGTCACAGGAGCATTTTGGGGACAGTAGGCTCGGGGATCACAACTGTTCTCCTCAACTAGTGGAAAAGATTTTAAAATTGACTTTGATTAAACTTGACATTTTCTTCACAAGAATCAGTCATACATAAACATATTGAACACAAATTAAGGGAAGAGAACCAGTTACAGGAATTGGTGGAAATAACAAGTTGTAGGGAAACATTCTCAACTCACCGATACTGCTGTCCTGACAACATGGTGTTACTCCAGTGTTGCAGCCAATGTCGTTCACCTCTGCAACAAGGATTATTAAATACCAGTCAGAATAATCAATTTTGATATCATTTCAATTCAGTTGTCACCTTAAAGATTAAAAACAATAGTCCTTCTTTCCTCCAAACGTTACCAGGAGGGACCCACATGATCCTTAAGTAAGTTACCATCCATCTGTAGCTGTGACCTACCTTCACAGATAAAGTCTTTCAGCTTCAGGTCCTGTATGGGGGTGTTCTTGAGGGGGTGGGGGGCAGTGCAGGTGGGTGTGCCAGTGATCACATTGCGTCTCTTCAGCCAATCAGAGAGCCAGCCAAGGTGACAATTACAATTGAACGGGTTCGCCATCAAGTTTCTGAAATTACATCACAAAATCTGTATAATCTACATAACAATAATATCAATGCTAAATGACAATAGTTTGAAAATAAGTAAATCTGTACCAGACAAATCTGTGATTCATACTATGAACAAAGTAGATGTTGTTTGGGATACGCTAACACTCAGTCAAACAAGTTTCTTATCCGCAGCATCGATTAATTTGGGGTTACCATGGTAATTGGGACCTTCATAACCTGCAGTTCCAACAGGAGTCACCATATGAACTGATACCCTTTGACATTAATGGTTGCCAATTTTAATTTAAAAAAAAAAAAATTTCAGTTATTCATAAAAACTACTGTTGGTAGCATGTGATCTCCCCAGTGAGACTGGTCATTTATTATAGAGAGGGGCGGGTCAAGGGAAATCAGGGATGGGTCACCAAAAATACTAGAGTCAATATGAGAAGGTATTAAACATAATACACATATTTAGAGAGGGTCATGTCATGAGAAATAGGCATTTTATAACAAAATAAAGTAGTTTGCATTTTGTCTTTTCAGGGAGTCATGAAATCTAGGGTAAGGGAGACAACTCTTGATGGTTACATGGTCATTAACACTGTGGCAGAATGCTTGGACCAGCTCAAAATACACATCAATCAATAGTATTCACAGTCACATAGTTTTATTCTTATAAGATTGAAAATCAACAGCTGGATAACTTGTATTTCCTTCCTACAGTTCCATTTAGAGATAGCATATTCAACCATGAATTTCTTCTCTTCTTGACAGGATAGCATGTACTGGGTGACTATACTCATGTAGTGTTATGTATTGTCAGAATTATTCATTCTTTAACAAATAATACGATGATATCTTGAAGCAGAAGAGCTATCTTGGGGATATCAGGGTTTTTCACCCCTTTTTCATTGTAATTTGGTTGAATGGTTGATGTATAATATTTCTATAATTTTGCATGTGATGAGCTCGATTGTGTCAGTTTTATTAAACTGAAGCAATGGGCAGTGAATTCCAGACTGCAAGAAAAATAGCATGAGGAGAATGGCTAAGTACATGTCACCCAATTTCACAGGTTAAGTTTAAAGGTGTCACTCAGTCAATAATATTTTCTGTGTTGAAGAAAACAGAAGGCATAAATATAAGTACAATTTCTTCCAGTAATGAGATATTTTCTAACAAAGCCATAACTTTGTTTTCAGTAATGGAATATTTTCTCACAAACAATTACTATTTTTCAAAACCTCCCCTCTGTTGGTAGAGTATGGCGATCTTTCAACCTTCTGATAATTAAACTTACTAGAACAAACATGATCACGGCGGAGAATAAACAGATCCCGTCACTACAGACAACTCTGTCCGTACTTGCAACAACAGCTGCTATTGTAAGGAAGTGCACAGTTTGGTAAATCATTCAGGGGGGTGTGAAAACTGTATCGGCAGCCAACACTAACAGCCCTTAGTACTGACACTCCGATAACACTAGAGATGTTGGCAGATGCCTTTATTCCATCACTGACGAGGGAGACAGATCTCGAAGAGCTGGTATGTTTACCCTGATGAAACATCCAGGTAAAACACTTCGTTAGCTCGCAAAACATGCAGGAAATGCCGTTTTTATGGCTCTGTTCGGTAAACTGTATCACAGGTATAAACATTGTTGGTTTGGAAAGGTAGATGGGAAGTTTTGGGAGATTTGCATGTGTATTTTGAAATCCTGTAATGCAGATGTATTATTTTGTTAAATTTCCGAGAATTTACACAATTTTTTTAGACCATGGAGTGCATTCTCAGGTGAAATAGTCTGCTGATACAGTCAAGAACACAAACAGTATTATATCAGTTCATCTTTTAGATACAACTCACTCTCTAAAACCTGAGTCACCAAAAAGTGTGTGTCTATATATGACCTGTTGCTATCTTAACATTATCCTTCATGTTAAAGGTCTCGTTGGTGTAATTTCTTAATTCTGATAGTTCATGAAAAAGTCCTAATATTTCATGAGGGCATACATTTTTTAATGTTAAAGTAATTTTTCAGAGAGTGCGTCTAATTTGTAATAGTCCACCTGTGGTGTTTTCATATATTTCAGATTAATGTTTATCACATTCATATTTCGGTTCCATGATCCGAGTTAATAAACCCTGACATGTACAAGTACCTGCTGTATGAGTTTGTTTCGTTTATTACTGTTGAACACAACATATCTTGGTGACGAGGATGGTGAGTTTTAGTCTGACGTAACCCCCTCTGTTCCTTGCAACCCTTATATAAATATTTTACAAGGAGTGTTGCATACTTTTCCATAGTAGACCTACAACTCACGGCCTAATCTTTGAGACCAGTGAACTAAAGGCAGTCACAGTTTAGATCACAGGGTCCCCAGCCTAACACCAACCAAACATGTTCTTATACGAGTGATTCATTGAGTTGGATCTACTTACAGTGTTGATAGGTAGTGCAGTCTGTCAAAAGCGCCTTGGGTTATACATCGGATCTGGTTGTCATACAGTGATCTGAAAATATATCATACAAAGTCAATAATGCAATTTAATAAAGGTATGAATGAGAAATAACAAAAATACAATAAATTAATTATTAGTTTTTCCTTCAATTTTTAAAAAGTATTTAACTTTTTATACATTTAACAAAAATACGTTTTCATGGTAAAAGTGCATATGAAATGTTGATGTTTCAAATCTTGGCAAATCTTCCCATAGCTGACATCTTTTCTGAATAACATCTGCTGATCAGCAAAATGGGTAATTTTAAAAGATCAATGTACTAGCCTGATTGAAAAGATTGCCATTTTGTATCAGTTGACATGTCACATTTCCACACACTTAGAGTTTCCTTATCCCAAAATCTACATTAAAATACATGAACCTTAAAAAATACTTTTCTCAAAGCTGTAGCTGAAACTATTGAAAGCAATGTTTCTTACAAAATATTTCTTTCAGTAGTGAATATTTATACTTGATTAAAAGAAGGAAAAGGTGATTCAATTTAAAGTTTAACTAGTTTGTTAACTATTTGATAAGATTGTACCAAGTTAGGTATAACACTTTACTCACAACACTCTCAATCGGGGCGTCTCTGTGAACGTAACGTTGTTGATACACGTGATTCTGTTCCCTCGAAGCATCCTATAGTAACAGATATCATACAACATCGTCATGCACGGCAAACACACCACCATCAAACTGAAAGCACAGATTCCCCTCCTTCAAACGCAGATCTGCTAAACCGACCATAATCCTGTTAATGATTAAAAATTACTGCTACATCTTCACCTTGCAGTCACATACGTTTCACATCGTTTATTTCAGAAATGTGATTAATTCAATAATTTCTGCTGAGCGTGCACTTGTCGCTACACATAATGATTAATCTCCGTTATCTCAGTGTCTGGTTATTCCCCAGTCAATATAGCCAGTCTGTTATATAACATGTGTTGAGTGGAAGGTCAGGCAAATTACTGGTGTCAGAGCGTGATATCAATGACTTGAAATAAGTTCGCAAACTGATGAATAGTTTGTCAATGGTTCAGGATAATTCTCGTGAATGCAAAACTTTTCCTAGCATCCCATGGCGTATCGCCAGAGACCATATACCAACTCTGGTATCCTAATAACATCTTCATGACATTTTTTGAGACCTGAACCAAACTAATTTTGGGGAGAGGGAGTGACACATAAAATGTCAGAGGAAAAGGGATCTCTAGATTTGTGAATTTAAAAAAAAATTGTTTAAAAATCAAGAATCTCATAAAGGTGTTGGTACTTTTGACTCCATACATCTCAACTTTTTGGACCATTTCCCAAAGAGTGAGTGAGTATGGTTTTACGCCGCTTTTAGCAATATTCCAGCAATATCATGACGGTGGACACGAGAAAAGGGCTTCACACATTGTACCCATGTGGGGAATCAAACCCGGGTCTTCAGCGTGACGAGCCAACGCTATAACCATTATTTGTTCCAGTGGCATTTTAGAAGTTGCTGGTATAGAGATGACACAACTTTATGGATGATCAACTTCTTTATTTTAACAATAGCGACGTTTCGGTATAGGTTCTTATACCGTTTTCAAGCATATGCCACTGTTAAACTGCTATTGTTAAAATAAAGAAGTTGATCATCCATAAAGTTGTGTCATCGCTATAACCATTAAGCTACTCCACCGCCCCGTATATATTCAGAGACTAAGCGTCAATGTACTGTGGTCACTGAGGGACATTTCACAACTAATGACTACATGGAGTGAGTGAGTGAGTATGGTTTTACGCCGTTTTTAACAATATTCCAGCAATATCACAGCGGGGTACACCAGAAATGGGCTTCACACATTGTGCCCATGTGGGGAATCGAACCCAGGTCTTTGGTGTGACGAGCCAACGCTTTAACCATTAGGCTAGCCATTTCACAAAGACATCTTCATGCTGTGACATCATGACTGTATTAAAGTACTGTAGTCACTATAGCTTCAAACTGGTTGTTACCTGTGGTAGAGGCTACATGGGGTGGAATTATCATCCATACTAACTGTAGCGGAAAAATTCACAATAAAAAAAGGACTTTTCATTGAAACCATCAAATGGTCATTTAGGTCCACTCTTACAACACTGGGGAGAGGAATCATACTTTTTCGGATCATTTCTATAGTATGTATCACCATGACTTCAGGTAAAACTGACCGCCTCCGTGGTGTAGTGGTTCCACCCCGAGCCGAAAGGTCGCGGGTTCGCCATACCAAAAGATGTTAAAATATGGTACTTGTTGGTCCCTGCCTGGCGCTCGGCATTAATGGGTACAACAAGGACTGGTGAACTCGAGTCAGTATAATGTGTCTGAGTGGGGTATTCATGCTTCACTGCGGCATGGTATCTCAGTGGGCTAGCACTATAAAACCAGCTTAAGTCTGGGCTAGTACAAGCAGCCACACATACACATATACACGCATGCACGTCGTCATATGAGCGAAATATTCTCAAGCATGACGTTAAACCCAATTTCACCTCACCTCACCTCAGGTAAAACTGACTGTCTACCAAACCCAGAGGACGATAGGGAGACAAATTCAGGGTACAGGAGCCCAAAGATGGACAAACATGGTACAATGGAGGCTATCCAGTAGCTTGCAACTGTGTTAGGGCAGTTGGATAACTTAGTGGTTTTGGCACTGAGACCTGAGTTTGATTCCCCACATGGGTACAATGTGTGAAGCCCATTTCTGGTGTTCCTCCATCATTATATTCCTAGAATATTGCTTAAAGCGGCGTAAAACTAAACTTCTCACTCACTCTTACAACTATGCTATCTAAGTCTTCTTCTGGCAACATACATGTTCACCATCCTTATTTTCTGTAATCTGTGTTACATAACTGCATAGAATTTGTTTCCGAAACAAACATTACACAAATAGTAATGATCAATACAAAGCACAAGCATACCCATTATATGTCATCTATCATAATATTTACACAGCGGATGCAAGATACAAAACGAAAATATAAAGTAAATTTAATCTTTTCTTTCTTAAGACCTGAAAACAAACATCTTTATCTTCTTTCCACCAGCTTCAAATCTTTCAACAAAGCAAGATATTTAAACAAACAAATTTGGGGGAAATGGGTGACTTTTCCCCTAGATGTTTCACTTACAGAGACTTGACATGCTGCAGACCTCGCAGAGATGCAGAAGAGAGCTGGGTAAGCTTGTTGTTAGTCACCAGTCTAGTAACACACACAAACATGTCATCAAGCGGGGAATAAGAGGGGAGAAGCAACAAAACTAAAAAAAAATATACTCTTTGGTTGTCAGACAAATTGTCAATGACAACTGTGAAACGCTTGGAATAGGTAAGCAGACATTGTTCTGTAGCTATGGCTCGGCTTGTTGCAACAATTAGAGACTGGTTTGTGAAATCTGAGTGTTTTTCAGGTATTTTTTATCATTTACAACGTGTCATACCTCTTATGTGAAACACAGAGCGGGCTGTGATTATGATCTAAAAATCCTTGACATGCAATTAGGAGATTGACAAATTCATAACATATTATGCACTGTAGCCGTAAAACAAACGATAAAAAATATACCGGCTGATTAAGGTCATGTGACGAAACTTTCTTTTTAGAATCAATTCATAATTTGAACGAGGTTATTGACATAATTACTTTACAATGCTTAAAGAATCACCTGGTTTGAATGTGTTTGCCAGTCTGGGTAAAACTGATAATTCCAATGTTCTTTAAAAAAACATCACGCTATCATCAAAATTAAGAGAATTATCTGAAAATAATGCTTCTGATTTTCCAAATTCTTTGAATATCTCTGTAATACCCTTGTTTCACATTACCCTAGATGTCTGATCAATCCTATAGCAGGGATTAAGAAAAGAATAATCCCTAAAAACAGACCTCCTGGATGACATAAAAGCATTCGGTGCCAGCACGATACTCTTACATATTGATACACGCTGATGCCAATAAAGCAGGGATCAAAGTCTTGTACAAGAGCATAACTCACGAAGCAATATGATAGCAATATGATTCATAATTCAAAAGCATTTGAAGACTTCAAACTTGAACAGGCAAAGCAATGTGATATTCCTAATTTGCACACATTCTAAAATCTGCAACTTCATGTCATACTCATGCAACCGTCTTTAAAACAGAACACATTTCAATCCATTTAAGTCATGATAACAATTTCAATCTTAACCATGCTGAAATATAACTGGAATATAGTTCAAAGCAGCATTAAACTGGAAAATAGTTCAAAGCAGCACGCACACAACTGCACGACGACGACGCACTCACTCACTCACTCACTCGCTCACTCACTCATCACGCACCCTATTTACGAAACATTCCATGAATCCCATGGGGCATGATCTGACAGGATGTCTATAGCAGTTGTCAACACCATGTATGCCATAAAGAATCTGGTGTTGCAAGCATGGAGATAAGAGAGCTGTTGAAACATACATCCCTCTTTACTCATTGATATTGACAACACACCCCATAAATCAGCTGTTACGGCAGGAATTCATAACTTACAGGTCTGTTAGTTTTTCTGCCCCTTCGAATGCTCCGTCTTCTATGACATCTATTGCATTATCATTCAAGTCCCTGAAGAAAAAATATATATAAATAAATATAAGATATGAACATGTAAACATGGCGATCTTTTCTCACCTTGTGGATGAAGTGAAAACAAACAGTTTGAAAATATGCTACATTTAATGACCTGGTTGATATGTTCTGTTTATTTCGTCACACAAATACGCCATATCTAAGAGAACATGGAGGTGTGGTGTTACAAGATTTTATGCTGCACTGATATACGATGAGCATGTGCATGAGCCTGGGTTTGTACCATATTGTGTGTGGTGTGTGTGTGTATCTGTGTGTGCATGTGTGTGTACATGCATCCGTGCTTCATAAGGTGGGTAGGTGTGTGTCGGTGTTTGTACCATCAGGTGTGTGTGTGTGAGAGAGAGAGATTGAGAGAGAGAGAGGGAGAGAGATTGAGAGAAAGGGAGAGAGGTTGAGAGAGAAAAAGAGAGATTGAGAGAAAGAAAGAGAGAGAGGGAGGGAGAGATTGAGAGAGGGTGAGAAAAAAAGAGAGAGGGAGGTAGAGATTGAGAGGGTGAGAGATTGAGAGAGAGAAAGAGAGAGAGGGAGGGAGAGATTGAGAGAGGGTGAGAGAGAGAGAGATTGAAAGAGAGAGGAGAGAGAGAGAAAGAGAGATTGAGAGAGAGAGAGAGAGAGGGAGGGAGAGATTGAGAGAGGGTGAGAGATTGAGAGAGAAAGACAGAGAGGAGGAGGGAGAGATTGAGAGAATGGGAGAGAGGTTGAGAGAAAGAGATATTGAGAGAGGGGAGAGAAATTGAGAGAGTGAAACAGACACAGAGAGAGAGAGAGAGAGAGAGAGAAAGAGGTGTGCTATATTATAGCACTAATCCCCTGAGATACCATGTTTCAATTTCATATGAGTACCTCACACAGTAACAGTGTACCGGTCCAGTCCTTGTTTCATACCATCAATATTGACCGTCACGCAAGGTAACAACAAGTACAAATCTTAGAAGACAATATTTTGAACTCTTAACAAACTCTCTTCCATGCATTGACCTCACTTTTTGCATTTATACCACCCCACATCAGACTGACTGAGTATGGGTTTACGCCATTTATAGCACTATTCCAGCAATATCACGGTGAGGGACACCAGAAATGGGCTTCACAAATTGTACCCATGTGGGGAATCGAACCCCGGCCGGTGGCGTGACAAGTGAACGCTTTAACCACTCCCCCAACCAGAGGAGAAAGAGTGAGGTATTAATAACTTGTTTTTGCGATGAAATGATGAAAGACTTAACCTAGACTTGCTATAGGCTGTCGATACAAGTATCTATGCAAGGTCAACAGGCAAGGCTCATAGCTTTATTTCATGTTTAAGTGTTAAAACAGTGCTCAAAATCCCATCTCAATTATCCATTTCAAAAACATCCTTTCTACGAACACTGACACTTTCTGATAAAAGTGCAACAGAATATATGAAATAAATAAAAGTCAAGCATGTCGTGACAACGATAAAACCACGTGGGACACACCATACCACACACAGAATACCCCTAGGTCACTGTAATAATGATTGCCTAAGTGTTTTGCCAGATTCCACAGTCTTTAACACGACAAGTCTGCTGCTATAAATTTGGAAAAGCAGGCTTTTTCTTTGACCCTGAAAATCCCGATCTGACTCCACGATCTTATCAAGATGCACTGATTAAATATTTTCACTGCAGCAGGGTGTTTTGTCAGTGTGAAATCTCCCCAGAGTTGACAAGAAAATCTCAGACAAGGAGTTTTTCTCAGTTCAAGCTGTGAAAGATAGGTTGTGTTTTGATGTCTGCTAAGTGATAAAACATTTGTTTAAATTATAAAGTTCAAGATTAAGAGAAACGTATAATCTGTCAACCAAATATGTACTTATTAACTTCTAAAAATATCTTATCATTTGAAGTCAATTTACAAGTAATTTGTCAAAATCATTTCGATAAAAATAGTTCAAAGCAAATCCAAGTAAATATTTATATTTCTTATCTCATATCAACTGAATATTATTGATACACCCCATCATCAAACTTAATGACTATTCTATTTATACACACAAACATATTCTACTTTACTTGACCTTTAAAAATTATGTCTGGCATAAGTATAAAATATATAAATTCTGTGAAATAAAATCACATGTGTTAGTATTTTCAAGTTTCATTAATTTCAGACAGCATAAATTTAGAATCCAAATTTCCTCTTGCTAAACATTTCTCATCATTATCTGAAATATTTGACACCATATGGAAATTACAAATTATGTTAATAGTTTCCAGTTGTCTTGAAAGTAGTATCCCTCCATTATAAAAAGTAAACACTACTTTCCAGATGACTGATGCTACTTACAACATGAGTAGCTTGAGATGGAGACTTCGCCTGGTAAATCTAAACACTTCTTACCTACATGTTGAAAGATAAAAACTTGTCTATATGGACCTGGCGATCTGTTTTAAATTGGAATGTAATGAATGCTAGGGTTGGCTCATACATGTTCATGGCAAATAAACAGTGTCACTTGAACTCCTGATAAACTCTCAACTGACAAATTACTACCCATATCTCTATATCGTTTAGAATATATACAAGCACATTTTGAATGTGGAAATAATTATTATTAATCATATTTTCAACCTTAAGATAAAATTATGCATACATTAAGAATGAAACATGAGCATTTTTCACCATCTTTCATTTGATATTAAATTTGAAATTTCAATGTTGGAAATAATGCATTTTTGACAGCTTTACATTTTAAAGGCTTCATAATTTTTTGATACCACAGAAATACCATACAAGTCCAGAACATGGAAGAGCATTTAATGGAAACAAAAAATATCCAAACTAGAGTTGCCATCGAAAAAACAAGTAATTGTAGCTAAAAATAGAAAATGAAAATGAATAACTTATTGTCCAGAAGACGGTTTTCTTTAGCCATTATTTTGGTCCCTTAAACAAAAATGTATTTATCCGTCTTTTTCCTTTCAGCTAAACTTGCCATGAATTTTAGAAACACTCATCTACAGAGGGCAGTTTCCTCATTATCTGACAATACAATACTCCCTTACTCAGCTGTTTACTCAAATCATACAACGGCGCCATTCATCCATTCGGAAAAAGTAAACATATTCTTTACTTCACACCACATTTTTTGTGGCTGCTAAGTCGTCTTCAACAGGAAAAAGACACGATTCCAAAACAAATGCCACATAATCTGCCGTATCCGAAAAATTTGTCAAAGTTTATTCAGCAAATGTTAGAAATGTCTCGCCAAAGTTGAGAAACTGTTACGACAAAGACTTCAAAGCCTGAGCAAACAGTGTGGAGCTCTTAGCAGTGTGGTGACAACGCTGTGTGGAGATTCCACTTGCGCAAGGTGTAATTGGCGCATACGACTGTCAACAAACCATGAGCTTTAGTTTGATCTCCCACGTTAGTCGAGGTACGACATCACATATACTTCTGCTGGATCAAAATTTATCATTTAGAATTTTATGTCAGAAATACTTTCAAGAATTATGAAAGTTACTTCTTAATTATCACATTTATAAGTTTAGTTGTGTGTCACAAGAATGTTTTTTTTTCACTTTCCACCTTCCATATTCTCCCCAAGGAGCTGAGAATGAAAATCAAATACTAGTATACTGATCCTTTGATTTGGGTAATAATTATAGACTTTGAACAAGCCATTATGTTGTGTGGAAACAATGGAAAATAAATGGCCTTATTTTCATCAGAACATAAGGAATTAAGTAAACTTGAAAATACATAGCTACATACAGATTAGTGATTAATACCCTTGCTGTTGAGGCTTGTCGTAAGAGGTGACTAACGGGATCGGGTGGTCAGGCTCGCTGACTTGGTTGACACATGTCATCGGTTCCCAATTGAGCATATCGATGCTCATGCTGTTAATCACTGGATTGTCTGGTCCAGACTTGATTATTTACAGACCGCCGCCATGTAGCTGGAATATTGCTGAATGCAGCATAAAACTAAACTAAACTCACTCACTCACTGTTGAGATTTTTTAGCTGAGAAAAAAAATCGCAATTTATCTACGACTATACTTATTCTCCCTCCATAATTAACATAAGAATGTTGACGCAGTCTACCCCATCAATGAGGCACAGAATCAATTTATCTACAAGCTCTAAAATGAAAATAGAACAAGATGTGAAAGATCAGATCAGCACTACACAGAATTTATCTCACGTTATCAAGCACATGTTCACCAAGCTTCCGCCTCCCCCTAGATTTAACCACCTGTCCCCCCTCCTACTAACCACCTGTCCGAGCAAGAGGTGTGATATCACAGATCTACCCCTCATGGCTTCTCTGAAGCAATGGCTGCTTGGCAAATGTCTGTGACCTTGAAGTGACTGAACTTTCTCGCTTGCCTTTGTGTTTCACCTCCAGTGAAAATATTTTAATCTTCTCCACAGTTTCTCTTTTGCCACCAGTTACAAAACATTTCAAACTTTGCAGCCACCACTTGTGAAAACATACATTCTCTTGCGTTTTACTGGGTGTTATTTAACTAAATGGCAAGCTTGTTTGCCTACCAGATGTGAAAAATATCTTTTTGATAAGACTTGACAGTTCTGCAGTTGTTCTGCAATCTTGGTGAGCATTGTGTGTCTCACTAACAGGTGTCTGTGTGGAAAATCATGGCTAAAATGCTGTATACGAATATTGTATACAAATGTTGTATACGAATATTGTATACAAATGCTGTATACGAATGTTGCATACAAATGTTGTACATGTATACGAATGTTGCATACAAATGTTGTATTAGACATATTGTGTATGAACTTGTATACAAATGTTGTACATGTATACGAATGTTGTATGTATACGAATATTGTGTATGAACTTGTATACAAATGTTGTACATGTATACGAATGTTGCATACAAATGTTGTATTAGAGATATTGTGTATGAACTTGTATACAAATGTTGTACATGTATACGAATGTTGTATACAAATGTTGTATGTATACGAATATTGTGTATGAACTTGTATACAAATGTTGTACATGTATACGAATGTTGTATACGAATGTTGTATGTATACGAATATTGTGTATGAACTTGCATACAAATGTTTACATGCATACAAATGTTGCATACAAATATTGTTTACAAATATTGAATATTTATGTTGTTTACAAATGTTTCCTTGATGGGCATCTTAGAAGTTGGGGTGATGAAGAATGCTGATGCTATTTATGGATATACAACTTCTTTGTTGTGAAAGGTGACGTTTCGACATAGATTCTAATGTACTTATTCATCATTTACTTGACAACGACATTAGAATCTATGTCGAAACGTCACCTTTCACAACAAAGAAGTTGTACATCCAGAAAAAGTATCATCATTCTTGATGCAAATGTTGTATACTATTGTTGTACATAATGCTGTGTATGAACATTGTTCACAAATATTGTATATTAATGTTGTATACAAATGTTGCATATAAATGCTGTATACTTACAGTATTTGCAGATTGGGTAGCTTTTTCTTGAATATTCCATCATTCTTAATTCGATTTATTTCATTATTTTCCAGTTTTCTGAAACAATACCAATAACACAGTTCAACATTGAAACAAGTAGAATACAAAAATCATATTTAATAGGTAAATCATGTTTTTGTTTAAAAAGAAACACCTCACACGTTCTTCTACAGTGATTGACGTCATGAGCACTGATCTACACAATACCGCAGTGAAGCTGCCACGACAGTAACTATAGAAACAGTAAAAATGTTTTGGTTGGTTGGTTTGTTGTTTAACGCCTCACTCAGCTATATTCCAGCTATATGGCGGCAGTCTGTAAATAATCGAGTCTGGACCAGACAATCCACTGATCAACTGCAAGAAATAAAACTTGGCTGTTGCTGAACTTCTTTTGATGAGTATATACAACCAAAACAGTTACACATTTATTTAAATCCATCATTTATTTAAATCCATCATTTAAGTAGGCCACAGCAATAAAGTTTGCTTTTGTTGAACAGCATAACAAATGCCAGTTTTAACATCTAGGCTACCCCCACGACCAAAGCAGTGATAAATACAACTCATATACAGAACTGATTTGATAACAAGTCATTGCTTACAATTCAGTTGTATACATGGGCAGTTCCTTGGGGATATATTTTAGCCCGCGCCCTGAACAGTCCACAGTTGTTCCGAGGCATACACACTCCCGCGGACATTCCCGATCTATCATACAGTTCCCTGCATTCTTTGTTCTGTGAGCTTCGGAGCCTGAAATTGACAACACTAAAATTGGCTATTGCCGATTTGTCAACATGTAAAAACTGACCCAACCTGGAGGTTCTTTATTTTAATGATTTAAAAAATGTCTGATTACAGATGAAGTATACATATTGAAATATCTAAAAATATTTGTGTTATCATAGATATTTTTGAATAAAAATGAACAGGAATATCATGTATAGAAGATTTGTTTTTTGGGAATATCGACACATCATACAGCTGATAAGGGCTGGGGTTGTTACATTTAGCTTAACAAAACAACATCGTTTTGAAGAACATTGTTTCCATGCACACTTATGAATTATTTTATTTCCATGCTGGTTAGGTAGATTTATTTGTGAACGAGGGTTACAAAATAACGTTTCTTCGAACAACACTTAACACGAAGAGAGGACAGGATCATTAGTGGAATAATTCTACGTATTAAAGTTTTGAAAATATTTGGATACACTGTCAAAGAATATCGCAGAATTGACAGAAAATGGTTGCAGAGACAATAGGGATAGCAACGAGATTTAATCTAAGGTGAACAAAATACGTGTGGGATTTTTTTGAGTGGGACGATTGTCTTGGGAAACTTATCGTATCCCATGCAATAGCTGTCGATCTCCCATCATGCAGTGCGTCGGCTCAAAACGTCTTTCTTCTGCTTCGTAAGCCACAGGGATTCTGGGGTTACTGACAACAGATCCACATGATGCTAAGCTAGTAAACGAAATAAACATAATGCAGAATGTTAGGAACAAAATAAAAAGCACTCAAATCTCAAGACACCTTTACATTTGAACTTGTTCGCTCGAACATGTCCGATCTTCTTCCTGCGCATCCTGCGAGGCGTCTCACAGCGTGCACCGCTTGTCTCGATGGGATGGTCGTGAAGGTACTCTGAGAGCCAGTGAAGATTACAATCGCAAATAAACGGATTCCGAGCAAGATGTCTGAAAGGAAAACCACAATCATCAGATAACTTGTCAATCAATTCCATAAAATATATTTGCCTTCCTAATTTTTTGGGTACAAATTTGGCTGATTTGTGGGAAAGATGTACATTACTCTGAACTCTATGTTCTGACACTGATAAACCATTTTTCAAGAAGGGTGTGCTCTGTGATATTGTCAGTCATACCGATCCTAACTGGTATATCCAGCACAGCTCACTTAAGTCCATAAAAGTTGGCAAGACTTGATTACTGCACTTTTCTAAACCGTGATATTACCGCCTATAAGCCTACTAGCAGTCAATGGAAAACAAGAGACTGGGCTTTGTTTTTATGATATTGTATTTATATAATAATATTAAGCGACTGTATTTTCTGTAATATCTGCATTTAAGAGACTGGATTTTAATCTGAAAAGGAACAAGTTATATGGATTGACAACTTCTTTATTACAATAGAATAGATGTAATGTTTCCGTGTAGATGCCAACACTGTTATCAAGCAAGTAACAACCTTCATCATACCAACATTTAAAATGCCACTTAAAGACATTAGATTTGAGTCTATTTATGATATATTAACATTCATATTTAATTGAGTCTGGACCAGACAATCCGGTGATCAACTTTAATACAGGTGCATGTCATATGCGAAGTGGATTAATTCACTTTGGGGATAACAAATGGTAACTTTGGGGATAACAAATGGTAACTTTGGGGATAACAAATGGTAACTTTGGGGATAACAAATGGTAACTATGGGGATAACAAATGGTAACTTTGGGGATAACAAATGGTAACTTTGGGGATTACAAATGGTAACTTTGGGGATAACAAATGGTAACTTTGGGATAACAAATGGTAACTTTGGGGATAACAAATGGTAACTTTGGGGATAACAAATGGTAACTTTGGGGATAACAAATGGCAACTTTGCGGATAACAAATGGTAACATTTTCATATCATAGTTTACATTTCCTATACAGAAGCAGAAATCATCGAAGATAGAATTATCAAATTTATGGTAATAATTTTGTAATCCCAAGTCATTCACAAATGAGGTTTTCTTTGATTTTCTTGACACTATCATCATTAATTAATCATCTCTGAATGTGGGGAAAATGATTAAATGTCAAACATGAGAAATAATGGGTAAATGATTTAATCAGATACAGATAGCTTCCCCTCTGAATATAATTAACAAAAATCTTAAAAAATGGGAAATAACATCAAAGAAAATATCAAAAACTATCCCACTAGTATCCTCGGATGCCTAATAAAATAACTTGAAAATCATGAAGCAAATTTAAATTGAGTTTTTCTTCTGCTTAAATTCACATTTAAAAGTTTTCTCAAAACAACTGTGAAATATGACCTGGGAACATCAAGGCCCATTTTAAGTCAATTTATCACGTAATTGGCTAAAAAGAACTAACGACTGGTCAGAATTCTTTTAATTCACAGAACAACCCGACACCCAACACACGTCCTGTACAACCTGAAACTTTGAGTACATTGGCATTTCTATCCTGCATCAAATTAGACAGATAGTCGACCCCATATCTCTGATGACACATGCTTGTCAATGGCAGGATGAGAAAGGGTTTTAATCATCACTTAGGCCCATTTAATCATGGGCTGGAAGGGATGGGAGGAACACATTCAGGTCTTCCAGCAGGTCATGTTGATAGGACCTGATTGGTGCACTGTCCTTTAAGTGATGCGGTTTTCGACGCTGGTGTTTAACTGGGATTATGATGCAGGGTTTTCGACGCTGGTGTTTGTACAACTGGGATTATGAATTGCCATATCAACTGCCGAACTAGGGAACTTATTTATCATGTTTACTTGCTGAGTGAAATATGAAAATATTTCTTCAAGTTCTCTTTTTCGAAAATGTCCACTCTTGAATCTGATGAAGAGATATAAAAATGTTGATAGAACCTGATTGGTGCACGGACCTTTCAGCAATGAGGTTTTAGAAGCCAGTGTTTGTATATTTGGGATTACATATTGTCATATCATCTGGCAAACTTATTTATCATGTTTACTTTCAGTCAAAAAAGAAAATATTTCTTCAAGGTCTCTTGTTGAAAAAGATTACTTTTGACCTTATGACGAAATGCATTTCTACACTGATCCCTTGCTACTGGTCCCATCAGTATGGCACAGTCTTGGTTACAGACTGTGGTATAGACTGTCTCACAGTCCCTGAACCATATTATTTTCCCTACTGCCCAGCCCTTCCTGCCATGCTAAAGCCTTAAATGAAGCAAGTCTAGATTTCTTCAGGTTCTGGTCTCCCAGGGGCTCCTTTTCAATTTAAATGGATTTATTTGTTGATATCAAAATTATATATATTCAGAGACTAAGCATTAGTCTCACTGTGGTAATGCATGGCAAATTGAGACACATTTTGAAAAAACTCAGCTTTACATGACATGGTAAAGGGGGAAACTTATGGATGTCAACTTTTGTAACAAGAGGAACATGACGTTTTAGAGTATGTTCTTACTCCTTCATCAGGGCTCCAGATAATTTTTCAACATCAGGAGTACGTACTCCTTATTTTTGAAATATAGGAGTACTGGAAAAACTTTTAGAGTACTGAATTGAATTTAATGGAGTATGTGATCGTTTCATATATGCACCACAACATTGCTACTCTTGTGTAAACAGGTAAAAAACAATAAAACAATACTTTTTTCAGATAAATACGTCTGTAAATGATTCTAAGACCATACACCACTGCTGTGGTGCATATCTGCTACTGTTTCTAAATTATTTCCTACCGTATCGTGCATATTTTTTATCCGTACATACGCCGATACGGCCCTTATCTGGAGCCCTGCCTTCATCATATTCAGACTCCATATCCATAAATATTCCCCTTTCATATGTATCTCTTCTAAATGCCATTCAAAGATTCACGGACAGAGTATTGGTGTTCACTGTTCATGTGTATTAAATGGTTCAAATTGCATAGTCTAAAGTTTATTGATAAATAGACCTAACAATCTGTAAAAAAAAGCGTAGAAGATATGATTGTTCAATGAATGTATATTCTTTTTAATTTATAAATTCATACACCCAATAATCCTGCAATAAACACAAACAGGGCTATCATTCTTAATAAGCAATTGTTTTGATGGAAGAAACGCAGTAGGGAAATTCATGCTTGGTCTTGTATTTAAAGAACATTCTTTGACAACATCAGAGGAGCATTGGCTAGCCGGGTGGTTAAAGTGTTTGCTCAGGACACCAAGGAACAGGGTTGGATTCCCTCACTGGGAAAGAGTGTGAAGCTCATTTGTAGTGGTTCCCACCATGATATTGCTGTGAAGCTCATTTGTGGCAATATTTCCCACCAGAAATGATATAACCATGCTGGAATATTGCTAAATGCGCCTCTAAATGCAGCGTAAGACCATACACAGTCACAACATAGGTACCAAATGACAATGCCAGAATGAAAGGAGTTGAAAGATCAGAAAACAAAACTGGGTATCGATATTTGTGACATTTAAGGATATTATGCTTTCAGCAATTAGTAAGTCTGTTATTTTGACAAAAGTCCTGAGTTGGTTCTACACAGTTCAGTTAAAGCCATTTCAGAACCCTAAAGCTAAGGTACTCCATGACTGCTTCTTCAATTTTTATAACATTTTAACCATGTTTCATAAAATACATGAAAAGAATAAAACACAGAATTCTAACAATCTTCTAACTATAATTCATAAAATAAAATACAGAAATTGAATAATCTAAATTTTAAAAAATCAGTTTTATTTAGAACCAAACCTCAAGTTAAGCACCCTCTTAACCAGGACATGCAAACCAATAAAATCAGGTTGACATAATCTCCAAGAGTTATCCGAAAATCACACTGCTGTTTGTCAAACAAAGTCCTCCTTGCTGACTAACAGAATTCATTTAAAAAGATTAAAGGAGATAAATTTTCAGGATGTTTCGGATATTTTAACTGAGCCGTTATCTCACGCTGACAAGGACTGGCAAGTGAATAATCTAACTTCATGTCATCAGATGCATGTCGGACTTTAAGTCCTCCTAACTCCTTAGGGAAATTTCAGATTTAATCATCACAGCCTTTCTGTCTAATTTGTCCATCTCCTAACATGTCCACCTCCCTAAAAAACACATCAGCTTTTAGGCTCCAAGCCGGCCCCTAAAATGTGATTAGATGAGTCATGGGTGACTAATACATCCTATCATGCCTGTTGCTCGATTCAACAAGTTTATTAACTCACAGCTGTGGCCCTGTCTGGCCAAATACCATCAATACAGATCCCTAAATCAAACCCTCGAAGGAGCCTCTAGCTGGCATGATAGAATCTGGGGCCGATCCACAATACAAAGCATTTGTAGCATTGATATTCATAAGCCTATGATAAACTTATACTTACGATTGCTTGTAATGCTCAAACGCTTTGTGGATGGGGACCCTGTTACCAAATGGGATGATTTTTTACACTCTTGCAAGAATTATAGAATCTGGGCCCAGACCTACAAAGCATCCATAGCACTACGATATTTATAAGCCAATGATAAAATATACACTTGCGATTGCTTGTAATGCTATGGAAACTTTGTCGATCGGGCCCTAGATTCTATAATACTGGCAACAACCTCCTCCAAGGGTTTGATTTAGGGAACTGTGTTAACATATGGGATGATTTTAAACACATATCGCCTTAAAGGATCTTGTGAAGACATGCACTGGATTTATCAAGAAACAATTTTGTTAAAATATTCACAAAGTACTGACATGACATGGATTCATTTCATGCAAAATATGATAATGAAGAACTCAGTTTTTTCTTGATCTGGACCAACTTGCTCTCGGAACAGTCAAAATGTATTAGAGTAAATTTGATCACATAAAATTCTGGAATCCATCAGAAACTGTGATCGAGTTTGGAGATAAAGTCCTATTGCATTTCCTGAATTCCATAAGGGATCATTTGATGCAATCCTTGTCTCAAAACTTGTTTAATGCATTAACCATTATTATAATCACACAAACCACAAACCACAGTTCACAAAGTTTTATAACTATAGTAAAAAAAATCTGTTTTAAGGGCCTCTGATGACTCAAGGTTACTAATTTGGGGAAAGCATTTTCGGGGGTTTCAAATTCCCATAAATTTAAAGAAACTGAATTAGGGGTTGTAGTTTCTTTAAAAAGTGTGAGAAAGGTTGACTAATTGTGAAGAAATGTCTCTTTTACGTGTCAGAGTGGACCCATAAAATCTGAGAAGTGTCTGAGGATTTACTACAGTCAGTGACCCCATCACATCAAAGTCAGCCATATTAACAAGAAGCACTTCAATCAACAGCCTCGATCTCAAAAAGATGATCAGAAAATTGTCAAAGGTATTTGGAACAAAGAATATTTTTTGAAAATGAATTCTTTAAATTCTGTTTAAACATGTTCAGATGAAATGTGTGTAAAAAAAGAATCTATGATTAGTTAACAGTATCTTTGCTAAATTTAGTTCTTTCTCTCAAAAAGTCAAGCAATATGAAAGTAGGCAACACCAAGAATGAGCTTCACACATGGCACTAGGTTAAGAACCAAATTTGGTTCTTAGGTGTGACAGTGAATGTTTTAAACGCTGGGCTATCCTTTCATGATAAATATACTTTGTGAATTTACTTGAAATGTAATTATTACATGAGCATAGTTCTAGCAATATTACAGCAATTTCTCATTAAGGGGCGGGGCAGTGGGGTAGACTCGGGTTTGATTCCCCACATGGGTACAATGTGTGAAGCCCATTTCTGGGGTCCCCTCCCATGATATTGCTGGAATATTGCTAAAATGGTGTATAACTAAACCCACTCACTCGTCAAGGAGCAGCACAGATGTACCGGTACCAGTGTGCTAACATATATATTGTGCCGATGTAAAATTATTAGAAGAGTAGGAGAAAGAGGGCAAGAATATTTTTGTGAGGTTTGAAAGAGATGAGGTAAGGCTCATTCTCATTTTCAATTCTCTTGGGTTATCTTGGGCATGTGTAACTGGATTTGTTTGGTGGAGTGGAGGAGTTTTAACAGATAATTATTTCTACAAAAATCCATCCAAAAATAATTTGACCGTTACAGGTGCAGAGTGGTGTATATCCCCATGTGCCATTTGTGAGTAAAATATTCAAATCCTGATAAGTTCCATCACTGCCCTGGGGTCTGGTATGTGTATGTCTAGAGCCAAGGTCACATTCTTGAGACTACTTTCAGAACCACTTATCTCATATATGACCCCAAAATTTATAATTAATACCATCTCAACGACACATTCATCCCAATGGGTAATAAATGAAATAATCTGTTTCAGAAACAGACCTAAAGTTTAATTTTAATAACAATTAGCAATTAATAAACTTGCAAGCAGAAGCTGCTTATCTACATAACTTGATCAAATCATGAAAGACTTCCTGTTACATAGAGTGAAGAATATTCATTACAATGTTTTTAACAACATGGCAATATATCTATTTTCACCACATAATATTTTTACAAGATTAGGCAATGAAACTATTTCTCTTAAAGTAGCTCATAAACTGGTTACAACATGGAGATAAACACTCCATGTTAATGCTTCCTGCTATAGTCTGGTAACATGGAAGCACTGATCTACCCCAGGTAGTCACAACAACGTAAGATGCTGTTTTAAGTAGACAGGAAGTGGCAAGGCAATTAGGAAGCAAACACCAATCACTGTAATCCCTCCATTTAGAGGGTTACTGACTTCCTATCGGGTTCCGTACACTTGATGGGACATGCATCAATCCGGATGCATCTTCTTCTTGTTTTAATTACTAAATGATATATAAAGGTAGTTAATCAGTGCAGCTGTCGTCTTTTATGACAAAAACAACATCCCAACAGTGAGTGGTGAGTGAGTGAGTGAGTGAGTGAATGAGTGGTGAGCGAGTGGTGAGTGAGTGAATGAGTGGTGGTGAGTGAGTGAGTGAGTGAGTGAGTGAGTGAGTGAGTGAGTGAGTGAGTGAGTGAGTGCACGATTTAGCCATTTTCTATCAATACACAGTTGGAGATACCAGAAATTCGGCCTCAAACATTGTTCACATGTGGATTCATAAAGAATAGCACGCCAGTTGATATGATTCATAATGCATCCTGCCCCAACCATCATGGTTCAATATGCACCCAAACAAATCAAAATGATTTAATAATCATCCTAAGCCAATCAACATGAATACTTCCCGAGGGGGCAGTGGGGTAGCCTAATGGTTAAAGCGTTTGCTCGTCACACCAAAGACCCATGTTCAATTCCCAACATGGATACAATGTGTACATTTCTGGCGTCCCCCACCATGATATTGCTGGAATATTGTTAAAAGCGGCATAAAACCAAACTCAGTCAGTCCTGCTTCCCATAAGCAGTAGAGTTCATTATCAGAATAATTGGCATAGTGCCAAAAATACATTGTTTGAGAGAAATATCAAAGAAACATTTAGAGAGGTGTGTATAGCATGTTGACCAACCTATGTCTCACCTCTGACTACCGATTATACAAGTTTATGGAAATGGCATCACTAATGATGTAAATATCCCGTAATGTGAATAACAAAAAGATGGGTAATCTATTTCCCTGTGTTTACTCTGGAAGTCATATTGAGAGCAGATGAATCATCGCACATCTCCGCATGTGCGTGCACTGTCCCTCGAGTCGATCACACGCACATGCATCACCTCACAGTCACTGCAGTCATGTGACCTCGTCCGTCAATCACTCGGTGCACATTTCATGTTTACAATCAGTTGTCATGGCAACAGGTTTGTCACCTGGTGCAACACAATTAAATCATCATCCTCATGTTAATTAAAGTTGACCTGATTGCTACAGTCCGACCTGTATTTGATAAATCATATTCAGAGTCAGGGCTTTGTTGTATATGTAAGCAGCCCTCATTGAGGATATGGCAAAAATGGCTCCATTGAATGGATGAGCTGTAATGGAATGTGAGCAGGTGAAGCGTGATGATGGAGGAATTATGACATATGTCAGACTTGTCAAAATGCGGGATGTGAGGTCGTGCAGACAAACACAGTGGTGTGATATCCGTATATTTATAATGCTGCTTAGCATTCACATTAATTCATGGAAATCAAACACATTGCATGTTCAACTAGTGAAAATTCTACAACTCAAATATTTATTTGACCATAAGTCATTCTACAACATTTATTTAGATTCACTTTCAAAATACTACTAAATAGAAGCTAAGGCCCAACCAATTCTGCCCTATTACTTTTGTATCTGTCATAGTATTCGTGAGTGAGTGAGTGAGTGAGTGAGTATGTTTGGCTCCGCTTTTAGCAATATTCCAGCAATGCCACAGCAGGGGACACCAGTAATGGGCTTCACACATTGTACCCATGTGGAGAATTGAACCCAGGTCTTCACTGTGACCAGTGAACACTTTAACCACTAGGCTACCCCATCAACCCATGTTGATATGAAAGCATCAGATCATCCTTACTTTATTTTGAAAAGTACTCCCCACAAAAATAGATACTTTTTTCAGTGGACATCACATACCAGTGCTCTCACCAAACCATTTAAACTAAAGATATAGTCTCTGACAGAATTTCAATAGAACTTCATTCATATTGAAGAGAAAATCTGGACTTGCTACACTTAAGGCTGGGTGAATGGGAATACGATATGGTTCAAGGACTGTGAGGCAGAATAGACAGTAGATGCTCTCTACAAGCCATTGATAAATTCCTGGTATATGGTGCACCATTTTCTAAATAAGTTCTTAATAATATATCCTGTTAATACTATTAAGTATTAATAAATATCTTTTCATGAAGTGCTAAACATTGTAAAAATGATTTATCTGTAACAAGATATTTATTAAGATTGCAGCTGGGCACAATATGAGCAAATATGTAAGTTGAGAAAGTGACTTAATCCCCGATGGGGATAAGTCCAACATTAGTCCCGGTTCCTAACACATTAATTCATCTCTCACAAATTAGTAAGTGACATACGACTTTGCTGATCAGCCTGGCAACATTAATCCAACTCATAGCCAGCTGAATACTGACACTGATGCTTTTACTTACAGTGTCTGTATGTTTCTCAGTGGTGTGAAGGTGTTGTTTGCCAGAGACTGTATCTTGTTGTCATACAGCGATCTGAAACAAAAAAAATAGGTTCAATATTACCAGGGGCTAGAGACAGGGACAAATACCATTACAGACTCTTTAATTTGAGGCGTTTGTTTGGTCGGTAGGTTGAGAAAATCAACCAGAAAAATCTAATTTCAAATATTTGTTGGGATTTACTTGAAGTGTTAAGTAGGTAGATGAAAATTGGCAGTGAAGTAGTTGTTAAAATAAATTTTAAAGTTTTTAATTATAGTATTTAAATTAAATATGTTTTTTGATAGTGACTGATTTTTTTTCAAACATTTTACATATTTCTGGTTGGCAGAATAACAAAAACAGTGCATTTGTCTTAAAATTGTTTTTATATTTCAACTTTTGGGTGTTGTGGATTTGTAACGTGTTAAATGACATACTTTATAACTGAAATTAAAGGGCCAAGGGTTAAAGGGTTTGTTGGTATTCTTGACACCAAAAAAGATGAAAAGGGTTCCTCCTACACTACACGGGTTTCAGTAAAAAAATTAAATGAAGTCATATTGCCTTTCCCACTTTTGAGGGAAATGTGAATTTTTTAAATACACTACACTAATGCAGTTTTGAAAATCCCTAGCAAAAACTCCTCAGGAAATGACAAATTCAAACAGTAATGGCTGCCAGACATCTTGCCTCTTTCCTCCTCTACTTTTATTAGAAATGGTCTTCAGCAACCCATGCTTGTTGTAAGAGGCAACTAATGGGATTGGGTGGTCAATTTTGCTGACTTGATTGACATATATCATCGCTTTTCAGTTGCATAGATTGATGTTCATGCTGTTGATCACTGGACTGTCTGGTCCAGACTTGATTATTTTCAGACTGCCGCCATATAGCTAAAATATGCTGAGTGCGGCATTAAAAAACAAACTTTTTTATCAACGGTCCGCAATATCTTACAGCACTACGATCTCATGCTGCCACAGAACCCAACTCAAATCAGAGAGCATATACTGATATATAGTCTCTGTTCAAACAATATTCACACATCCCGATCTGTCGACAGTTCCACGCCCAGACTGAGTAAGACACATGCTCAACACCCGCCATTGTCATGTCACGACTTCTGACTTTCTCGCACAGCCCAGACATAAATATCATCCTGCCTGTGTATCACAAACTTGTCGATGTTTATTTCAGTAAGTAGCTCCCCCTAGCAGGGAGACATTGCACTCTTGGTGGTGGTGAGTTTATCAAAACCAACCCTCCTCCTACAAGAATTTTGATGACGCCCCTGAGCTTGTAGGGCTGATAAACAAGTGAAGTTTATTCAAACAAACACTGGTCACCCATGACAATGTGGGTTAATGAATCTATTACTGGAGAAGATTTGAAAGGTGTTTCTTACAGAGAGGCTACATAATGGCAAACTGTTGTATGAAAGTTTCGCATGATACTTTTAGGGTAATCCTCATCAATGGACACATTTTGAATCAGAACCTGATCAGCACCTGAATAGTCAGTCATAGGGACTGGTCATGTTACAAGGTGGGTGAAGGAGGGGAAGGGGAGAGAGAGAGAGAGGGGGGGCAAGGAGGAGAGAAAATAAGTGTAAGAAGGGGGCATAAAAAATGATACAGTACAAGATGGCTGTACCTACTATATTGTGGGAGGGGAATGACAAGCATGAAAAATATGAATGACAGTTCTATGTCAAATATCAAATAGAAATATTACAAATTTAAACATTATTTAGAGACTGGTCATTAGGTTTAAGAACTGGACAGGGGGTCGTGAAAGAAAGTTTTGTAGATTTGTGTGGGTGGGCAGATCAAGGTATGATCATCAAATAAAGAGACAGGAGAGTATACAAAGCAATTTTCCTTGCCTATAGATTTCTAAGGACAATTCAGTGATGATAGGCATGAAGCATGATAGTGACGTGGGTTGGGGTGAAAGTCTAACAATGTATCAGGGTCTTAGTGATTACAGGGCAAGTTAACAGCGCCACCAAAGAGCCAGGAGGGGGCAACTTGGCCTGTACCCTAAACCAACAAGCCATTCTGACAGCACAAATCTTACAGCAGGTAGTTGACAGACACAAATCCACAGATGAAATCTGCCAAGACATACCAAGCATCAAAGTATCTCCCAGCCTGCTCAGACTCACTGACTGAAACTGTTGATCACAGGATTGTCTGGTCCAGATTCGATTATTTACAGACTGCTGCCATACAGCTGGAATATTGCTGACTGCAGCGTTGAACAACAAACAAACTCTGACTGAAATTAGCGTAATTCTTGTAATCCGAATTTACAGTACACTGAACTCATTACATGTTGTGTGACCTAATAAGGTGAGCTATTTATGTTACAGTTAACTCATTACATGTTGTGTGACCTAATAAGGTGAGCTATTTATGTTACAGTTAACCCATTACATGTTGTGTGACCTAATAAGGTGAGCTATTTATGTTACAGTCAAACCATTATGTTTTGTGCGGCTTAATAAGGTGAGCTATTCATGTTACAGTCAACCCATTATGTTTTGTGTGGCCTAGTAAGGTGAGCTATTTATGTTACATTCAACCCATTATGTTTTGTGCGGCTTAATAAGGTGAGCTATTTACAGTATGCTGAATTTATTTTAAATTCTTCAAAGGCATTTAGAAGTTGGTGTCGTAATACAAGGCCAATCTTATGGCTAACAACTTGTTGGTTTATTTTTCACAACATTTCTGGGCTAGTTCTTGCCCCTTCTTCAGGTGAATAATGGTGATAGTGAACAGTACAGTATATATATAGATGTACAGGAAGCCAGATATGTAAATTGAGTATATACAAGGGAAAAAGGAGGTATAATTAAGTATGCACAAACAATGCAGTGAGATCAAAGAGCAGAATACAATAAGGTATTTTTTTATGTTTTTAATTATACCTCCTTTTTTCCCTTCCCTTCCCTAAGAACTAGCCCAGAAACGTTGTGAAGAATAAACCAAGTTGTTATCCATAAGATTTGTCTTGTATGAATTTATTTTGTTTTGTGTGCCCTGGTAAGGTAAGCTCTTTAGTGTACACTTACTCATTACATTTTGTGTGCCCTAGTAAGGTGAGCTATTTATGTTACAGTTAACTCATTATGTTTTGTGTGTCTTAGAAAGGTGGGTTATTTACAGCATACCTTAGTAAGGTGAGCTATTTACTATATGCTGAACACATTATCTATTGTGTGTCTCAGTAAGGTGAGCAATTTACAGTACACGAATTTATTTTGTTTTGTGTACCTTAGTAAGGTGAGCTATAGGTGATTAATGTGCTGCTGAGGGTGGCTAAAAGGTCTCAGGAGGAGTGCAAGTGTAAGAAATACACCCTAGTTTCTTACAAACAAACCAGTGGGTTTGTCTCATCAATATCTGCCAGTTCACATGTCTCCCAGAAACACTACATGCTAAATGCCTCGTGAGATATTTTGACAGGATGTGTGTATTTATGTTTGTGTTTTTCCATCAGCAGCGTGCATGCATCCGACATGTAGCTAATACAGGCTTCACAGCAACAGATTGATCATGCTGGCTTAGACTGGGTTTATTTATGTTCGTAGTTTTCACTGCTGCGTTCATGTATCCTATGTGTAGATTGTACAGGCTTCGTAGCCACAGATTGATCATGCTGCCTTCCACTGGGTGTTTCCCAAAACAAGTTCCAAGATGGAATACAAGCGAATAAATGTTGTTTAACTCCATGGTCAGCAGTTACCCAGTTATATCATGGTGGTCTGTCAATAATTACACGTACTGAACCATAATAAAACAGCTCCTTCCAATTCACAGTCTGGCCACATTCAGCCAAGTCACATTCTGGCCATCTGATCCACAATCTGCCCAGTCACATTCTGGCCATCTGATCCACAATCCGCCAAGTCACATTCTGGCCATCTGATCCACAATCCGCCCAGTCACATTCTGGCCATCTGATCCACAATCCACCCAATCACATTCTGACAATCTGATCCACAATCTGCCCAGTCACATTCTGGCCATCTGATCCACAATCCACCCAGTCACATTTTGGCCAGCTGATCCACAATCCACACAGTCACATCTCAGCCAGTCTGAGTCTACTCATCTGCCCAGTCACATTCTGGCCATCTGATCCACAATCAACCCAATCAAAGTCTGGCCATCTGATCCACAACCAGCTCAGTCACATTCTGGCCATCTGATCCACAATCCGCCAAGTCACATTCTGGCCATCTGATCCACAATCAACCCAATCAAAGTCTTGCCATCTGAACCACAATCAGCCCAGCCACAATCCGGCCATCTGATCCACAATCAGCTCAATCACAATCTGGCCATCTTGATCCATAATCAGCCATGTCACAGCCTGGCTATCTGATTCTTTCTCTTCTGTTTTTCTGACAAACATAGTTTACTGGAAGTCAAGTCTATCCTGAAATCTGCATTGGGAGACACCAGGATACTGGGTACAATTTCTTTCAAGGAATCTCCAAATCGAGACACACATAGGTAAGGATACCTACCATTCCACAAAGCTTAAGGTTACTGAAATTCTAAACATTAACAAAACTTATGATCATTGTAGTGCTGAGATCGCTTAGTGGAAAACACCAGATTCTTTCTTGGAATCTCCATTCAGATAAAACATAAAATACTGGTTGAATTGAGTAATATGGGTTGGGCAGGAGTGAGTGAGTGAGTTTAGTTTTACGCCACACTCAGCAATATTCCAGCTATTTGGCGGGTCTGTAAATAATTGAGTCTGGACCAGACAATCCAGTGATCAACAGCATGAGCATCAATCTGCGTAACTGGGAACCGATGACATGTGTCAACTAAGTCAGCGAGCCTGACCATCCAATCCCATTAGTCGCCTCTTACGACAAGCATGGGTTGCTGAAGACCTATTCTACCCCGACATCTTCACGGGTTGGCTGGGCAGGATGGGTGTGAAAGGCAGCATGGGTGGAACTGGAGCAGCATAGGAAAGTGACACTAGATATGAGCTTCTTAAATTGTATTTTTTTGTGAAAAGTGAAAATTACTTACAATAAGTTGAGGTTGCGTAGATCTCTAAATGCATCCACTCGCACACATGTAATCTTGTTGGCATTCAGCAACCTGGAAAACAAATCAAACCTTCATGACACTTCAAGCCTTGTGTTACAAATGATTATCTTTGTAAGTGTTACCATGACACTTCAAGCCTTGTCTTCGGCATGATGAGTGCGAATGCTTTAACCACTAGGCTACCCAACCTCCCCTTCTCCTTAAGAAGGCCAATAACATGTTTATAAGTAATGTCACTTATCTTTCAAATATAATTTTATTTACATAAATTTAATATCATAGTTAATAAAAGTCCAGTGATATTACACACATTCCAATCAGAGCTTCTAAACACAGATCTGTGCTTAGAAAGACTCAGACACGGCTTGTATACTGAATATAAGCATAAAATTTGTGATGTCAAAAATACAGAATATGTCAAAGACTTCTTTTAAACCAGTGATAACCCGACAAACGTTAAGCGGAGTTATCTCAAAATAGAAGCTATATATGTTTATGGTGTTATCAAAAACCAGCTTCTTTTAGTTCACAGGCACAAGATTTGACATATTGCATCAATCAAATATTAATTTCACACAAGAAAGTTCAACTACTTTTTAAAACGAATATGCTAACCTTCGTGTGACTGAGATATTACCACCATAAGCCATTAAGCGAGATAATTTGAGTCAGATGATATTGAAGTGATGAGTGGTGATTAGGGAAATATTACCTATTATCACACCTAACTAGAGTTCTGCGGTTTGACCTTTGTAGCTGGTGTTTTATATCTCAATGATAACATTTATCTGGTGCCGACTCTCGTGCCTTCCTGGCTTCTTATCATACTGTTCCAGACATCAAAGGAAATTTATCCACCCACACCTCTGTCTGGCCGAGAAACAGTAATGTAAATTTGTTCTGAAGTGTCAGATTTCTTGCCACCTTGAAAAACTTTCAGAAATAAGTGTTATCATAATAATATGTGTTGTTATGGTTCCAAAGGGTATGTGATAAACAGATCTGTTTTGTGTACAGTTCAGCCGTTATCTGTGTATCGATATGTGGTATGAGTGAGTGAGTGAGTGAGTGAGTGAGTGAGTGAATGAGTATCTGCTTTGAACAGTATTTCATACAGTACGTCAGATTTACTTGTGAGGGAAGTAAAAAGTTAATGTCCAAATAGTTTTGATGTAAATAGCTCTGGCAGACAACACTCTATGACTACTCCATGTGACTGTGTGAGTGCATTTTGTGTGCATATTTGTGTATTTCATACTGAAAGGGTTTTGTTGCAGGTTTTTCTTATTGCAATCAGGCTTGTAAACCAACTTAAATAAAATAATTGCTAACCTTTCTGTACCTTTGGCAATACCATGACATCACAATGTTTTGGGAACATAATGACTAAATAGCAGGCGTAGCATCATCATGTCTAATGTTAACTTGACAAAGACATGCTTCTCTGCAAATGCATCATAAATGAAGCTTTTACACAAAACATTCCAACATTATATCCATAATCTATACTCCAATCTTATAACTGTCAATCACAACATATCACAAAATTAAGCAAATTGGTTTCTTGTATGAAACAGCTTCAGGCATCTGGCTGTTCGTAATGGATTTTTTTATTCCTAAAGCTTTTTAGCTAAATCTCTAAATCATTTCGGCAAGCCTCCAACATGATGTCTTGTTGTATATGCAGTGACAAACACTCCTTGGCGGCATCGTACATGATAAATGGATCACGTGATCTCTTTACAGTTTGTCATATCTTACCATAATGTATAATAATAACACACGCACAACATTGTTCACATTGGGAATGAGTGAGTGAGTCTGTATGGTTTTACGCTACCTTTAAACATATCACAGCACAGCATACCCTGAATGGACATACTGAGTTATGGATTGCCCATTCTTGCCTACTTTTGTATGCATTTGTCTGGGTTGCATAGTTACATTAAAGGGGAACAACTCATTTCCCTGTAGGGGAACAACTTGCTACCCTCTAAAAAAAGTGCCATCCTAAGGACGTCATGAAGTCGCAATTATATAAATGTATGAATCTCCAGAAATGACATATTGATAGAAAAATGTTTCATTGCTAAACACATCATGCCTCTTTCTTTCCGTGGTTTGGTGGATTTATTGCAATGCAGTCTCATGTAATTGCTTTAATGCTTAACAACAAGACTCCTGAATGATCTTACAACTGAATCAACTATTAACTGAATCAACTAACAACTGAACCAACAAGTGAATCAACTAACAACTGAACCAACTAAGTGAATCAACTAACAACTGAATCAACTAACAATTGTATCTAACAACAGAATCATCTTACAATTGAATCAGCGAACAAATGCATGAAACAACTGAATGAACTACCATCTACCAACTAACTCAAACATTTGAATAAAACAACTGAACAATTAACAACTGAATCAACTATCATCTACCAACTAACTCAAACATTTGAATAAAACAACTGAATCAACTATCATCTACCAACTAACTCAAACATTTGAATAAAACAACTGAACAATTACAACTGAATCTATCATCTACCAACTAACCAAATAACTCAAACATTTGAATAAAACAACTGAATTAACAACTGAATCAACTATCATCTACCAACTAACTCAAACATTTGAATAAAACAACTGAATCAACTATCATCTACCAACTAACTCAAACATTTGAATAAAACAACTGAACAATTATACTGAATCAACTATCATCTACCAACTAACTCAAACATTTGAATAAAACAACTGAACAATTAACAACTGAATCAACTATCATCTACCAACTAACTCAAACATTTGAATACCAACTAACTCAAACATTTGAATAAAACAACTGAACAACTATCAACAATTGAACAATTAACAACTGAATCAACTATCATCTACCAAATAACTCAAACATTTGAATGAAACAACTGAACAATTATACTTGAATCAACTTAATCACTGACTGACTGACTGAGTTTACTAACTTTTGAATGAAACACGCAACCAACTACCATCTAGCAATATAAAACAACTGAACAAGCAATATACCAACTAACCAGAAATGGGCAAACATGCCCATGTGAATCGAAAAACAACTCAACAAGCCAATCAACTGAATCAACTATCATCTACCAACTAACTCAAACATTTGAATAAAACAACTGAACAATTAACAACTGAATCAACTACCATCTACCAACTAACTCAAACATTTGAATAAAAAACAACTGAACAATTAACAACTGAATCAACTATCATCTACCAACTAACTCAAACATTTGAATAAAACAACTGAACAATTATACTGAATCAACTATCATCTACCAACTAACTCAAACATTTGAATAAAACAACTGAACAATTAACAACTGAATCAACTATCATCTACCAACTAACTCAAACATTTGAATAAAACAACTGAACAATTAACAACTGAATCAACTACCATCTACCAACTAACTCAAACATTTGAATAAAACAACTGAACAATTAACAACTGAATCAACTACCATCTACCAACTAACTCAAACATTTGAATAAAACAACTGAACAATTAACAACTGAATCAACTACCATCTACCAACTAACTCAAACATTTGAATAAAACAACTGAACAATTAACAACTGAATCAACTATCATCTACCAACTAACTCAAACATTTGAATAAAACAACTGAACAATTAACAACTGAATCAACTACCATCTACCAACTAACTCAAACATTTGAATAAAACAACTCAACAATTAACAACTGAATCAACTATCATCTACCAACTAACTCAAACATTTGAATAAAACAACTGAACAATTAACAACTGAATCAACTACCATCTACCAACTAACTCAAACATTTGAATAAAACAACTGAACAATTAAACTGAATCAACTTAATCACTGACTGACTGACTGAGTTTAGTTTTACGACGCTTTTAGCAATATTCCAGCAATATCAACGAACAACTGGGGACACCAGAAATGGGCTTAACACATTGTGCCCATGGGAATCGAACCAACTGGTCTTCTACCATTCAAACATTTGACAACTGCCAATCAACTACCATCTACCAACTAACTCAAACATTTGAATAAAACAACTGAACAATTAACAACTGAATCAACTATCATCTACCAACTAACTCAAACATTTGAATCATGTAACAACTGAATCAACTAAGAGCTGAATCAAACAACTGAATAAATCAATGAATCAAATTAAAATGTTAGAAAGCTGATAACAATCACAACACTAATCGAACCCCTTATCTCCATATACACCATTTTGTGCCTGACTACGGTAACAATCAGCCAAGTAACATCAGCCAGACTGGCAACACATCCATTATTTACAACACAAGCCAAAAAATGCACTCTGTGTTTTTCAGTCCAGCCCCATGGTTAAACAGCGTTAACTTCGGGAGGAGCACGAGATGATGTTAAAGGCTAAGCAGGCTGTCGAAGTGTGCATAGAAGCCCAGCAGATGCGCAGATGCACATGTAACGCCTGAAATAAGCCGCGAAACTGACAGTTCACATGTGTAGACCTGGGGTTTATTTCGCTTTGAAATTAACACACTTTGACAGGAAAACATTATCGAGGAAAACCCCTTTCCCAGTGGCGAATATACTTTCTTTCATGTGCAATGGTGAAAAATGAGCTGCTATTTATTACAACTTATTCCAATTTGTTGGCATCAATTTTTCAAAGGTTTAAAAGATAAAATTTTCATTTGGTAAAGCAATGTCACCATTCCATTTGTGATGCACAGAAAATAAATATCTTTTTGCTTTTGAGACGATATCTGTTTTTAAACAAATATATTTCACTACTTTGATGTACATCATAAATAGCTTCCATATCATCACATAAATCTTTTTTTCTGATACCTTGAAGTTACAAACACTGTGAACCCTGTATCTGAAAACATTTTCTTAAATACATTTACATATATTTTCCCAAAATCTGATGTATGAAATCTCTAATCTGTATATTGAGTTGGTGATATATATTAATTTAATATATTTGATCTAAGATGCATTTCAAAGAAAATAATTCATATTTCTTTGTATTTGGTCTGTTTATTTTCATATAGGAGTGTAACGGAAAAACGTTGGAAATGAAGACATTATTTTTGCAAAACACATTGTAGGCCAGTATTAAATGTCACAAAAACGTTTTCATCAACCCAGGAGATGGGTTTGTTATCATGCAACAAAACTGTACATTTTCAGTTCTATTAGAATTTCTCTCAACTGGTTCCCATGAAGCTGTCAGTTACGAGACAAAAACATTTAGTTTGTGAAATCTGTTACTTACAGGAGTTGTAGATTGATTAATCCATTGAACACACCAGGAGGTAAATCCGATATCTTGTTTCCGTAAAGTACGCTGAAAAGCAGATTGACGTAGATATTGATATATAATTTGACATACAAATGGAAGTAACAAAACTGTCATTCCTGTGGTGAAGTATCTGTTAACATGTCATCTCTTATATTACTAATTATAGACTATTACTTCATATTAACATAATCAGATTGAATTTACACTGACGGTACATCACTTAAAAAGAAGTTAAAACCAAATTTACTGAAGGTCCCTAACCCAAACTTTGACCATTTGGGACAAACTCACTAACAGATCCTGGCACAACTAAGGGACACAACTTTGCATAATACATTGTTACACCTTAGACCACCTAGGACAAACTCACTAGTAGATCCTGGCCCAACTAAGGGACACAATTTTGCACAAAAGATTGCTGCATCTTTAACCACTAGGCTATTTCTGGTGTCTGTTAAAATATATTATGAAAAATGTGCTATGGTATTTACAGTGTTCTAAGAGACTGGAGTCCCGAGAAGGCATCAGGGGCGATATAGGAGATCTGGTTATTGCTCATATCGCTGAAACACAAAACACAACCAAGATAAATTCATGACGACCTATGACAATACTCAAACATACATCATCATAAAGATTTAATACCGTTGTAAAGCTCATATTCAACCAGGTTTATGGATCATCAGCCAGACACAGCATAAATTGTCAATAACAGAGAAAATCAGTTTCAATCATCTGCCATTCCAATGACCAAATAGTGGTGAGATGACATGAATGGATTGCCGAAATCCATGATGACAGCAGGTGTTTGTAAAATGGGAATACATATCTTGCTCTGCTGGTAAAATAAAGAAACGACCTATTGATGTAATTATTTCTTGTTTCAACTATCATGTTTCATTGGCCATATATTAGACCTTTATATTTTCAGGGTTGTATGTGAAATGATTGCTTGGATGTCCAAGTTACGGGAATCACAAGCATTATATTTGTATTTTCATTTGTTGTTTAATGATGCACTCAGCAATATTCAGCTATATGGCACTTTGGTCCTTTAGAGATCCGGAATTTAACAAGAAGACATGCTTTAAGCCAATACTCACATGTTTGATTGGCAATATATTAGATCTGTATATTTTCCAGATTGTAAGCGAAATAATTGCTTCGATGACTAAGTTCCAGGTATCACAAATATTATATTTCTTGTCCAAATAGTTTTGTTTTATTGTCGTTTAATGCCTCAATAAGCTATATCACAGTTATATTTGGTCCTTTAGAGATGAGGAATTTAACATGAAGACATGCTATAAGCCAATACTCACATCCTCTGAAGTTTGTTAAGTTCTGAAAATACTCTCGAGGGAATCTGCGTTATATGGTTTTCTTCAATACGCCTGCAAAAAATGGAAAACGTATTAACATTACAGCAATTACACATCTGAGGGTAGGGTTAGCCAGTGCTCTTGGAACCCCTGACCGACAATGCAGCACCTGGAATGACAGGGGATACGAGATACGACATCAACACAAGGTCTTCTACTTTATCACACTGTCAGGCTCCAAGACATTTGGTGCCAATACCAAATTGGAACCGACATGTTCTACAGCTGGTGGCAGAGATGACCTAACTGTTCAGATCAGATATGGCACATTGACGCTGAAGACCTTACCAGTACCGATTGGTGTTCAGAATATTGAGTTGCTCTGGTTCCACCGACTCACGTTTGATTCCTGACATTGTGTTTATGATCAAATATGTCATGCATATGGATCTTTAAAAAATGGATAGCTGTTTTGTTTCCCATCAGCCTCAAGGCTGTACTGTGGTGGTGGTGGAATTGGGTTTAACATCGTGCTTGAGAATATTTCGCTCATATGACGACGTGCATGCATGTGTAAGTGTATGTGCGGCTGCTTGTACTAGCCCAGACTGAAGGTGGTTTTAAGTGCTAGCCCACTGAGATACCATGCCGCAGTGAAGCAGGAATACCCCACTCAGACACATTATACTGACTCCCGAAGCGACCAGTCCTTGTTGTACCCATTAATGCCGAGCGCCAGGCAGGGACCAACAAGTACCATATTTTAACGTCTTTTGGTATGATGCGGTCGGGGATCAAACCCGCGACCTTCCGCACTCCGGGCGGACGCTCTAACCACTACACCACGGAGGCGGTCCTCAAGGCTGTTCTCAATGGCAATAGGCGGATGGCACTATTCATAGTATTACAATCACTATAATAATCAAGTCTAGATAAGTGGAATGTGACCCAGTCTTTTACAGACACCTTGTTTTTATTATCTATATAATCAAAAAATTATGACTTAAATTAAAAAACCATTTTCCACCGACTTTTGCAGTTCTAGTCATTAGCAACAGATCCATTGTATCCAAGGAAATTATTACACTTTCTCAGCATGTCTAGGTTGTTTGAACATTGAGTAAGTGAATATGATTTTATGCAGTTTTAGGCAATATTCTTGAATCATTATTAAATGGGATATATGCATTGTACCAGTGTTGAGAATCAAACATAGACCATGATCGTGATATGTTAATCCTTAAACCACTTGCCTACTCCTGACTACATTTGAAAAATTATAATTCTTAAACGTCATGTTTTGAAGAAATAATCTTATTTAATTACACATGTGAAAGTGGTTTATTGTACTTCGTATCGTATTTTCTGAAAGCTTTTGACTTAAATATCAATAAACTAAGCCCAACTCAGAATTCCAGAATTTCCAATTCACAACCTTCTAAAACACCTTCTGAACACCTGCAAGCCATCACTCCAAGACAAGAACATTGAATCCGCCCAAATAAGGTCGCTGTGTCAAATGTATCAAATCCCAATAAGAAAATTTACACACCGACTGTTGAGGTTATGTGAAAGTTTACACCACAAAAAGCACAAATATAATTCCAAGCACAGCGTAGAGAACAAATTGAGAGACAATAATTGGATGACGGAGTAATTTCCCTTTCAAATACAGTCGAGTCGACATCACCAACTTTGTGGCGCTTTGAGCACTGGGCTTCAAACACTCTCCTTCAATTTGTGGTTTTACCGACTTGGCGATCAATGGCCCACTTAACATGCTCAATTTGATTCAAATTTGTTTTTCTTCTAGTAACACAGCAGTTCCCAAACCTTACTCAAATGACAATTGATTTACCGAAATCGTTCACAAAACACCCACTATCAAACATCTGCTGGGTGCAATATGTTTGGTGGAAAATAGCATTTCTTTCATGACAATCGATGTCATTGGGATCAATACGGAATGTGCTCAAATGTGTTCCCAACAGATTCCGACAATCAACGACTCTGAAAAGCTAACCTGGCCAAGGAATATGAACCAATTTAATTGAATTGTTGCATCTGATGTGGCACAGTAGCTGATAACAAATTTCAGATGCAAATTATGATTGTGTTTTATAAATACATGCTTTATGCATGTCTTTTAATGTTTAAATCGCTAATCTGTTACCTTTCTTGAGACACTGATAAAAGAGTGAGTGAGTCTAGTTTTACGCCTCTTTTAGCAATATTTCAGCAATATCACAGCAGGGGACACCAGAAATGGGTTTCAAACATTGTACCCATGTTGGAAATTGAACCCAGGTCTCCGGCGTCACAAGTAGACGCTTTAACCACTATGCTACCCACCATCCCAATGATACATGAAGACTATGAAATGGAGGAATACGACTAAACAGTCACAAAAGTCAGATTAATGGAATCCATTTCAAAAGACATTATGTTTTTATCTCAATATATTAAGGGTACCTGATAATCCCTCCCAGAAGCACACGGTAAACACAGAATTACCATATTTCCTCTACTAAGCACCATTATAAGTGCTACTATTCTTTTACCAGCTTCCGAATCCAGAAGGTATATAACTAGGGACCATATGTTAAATATTTCATAAGCTACAGTCACTCATGACATACAAAAACTTACAAATTGACAAAAAGGTTCTTCACGCTCCTTATATAAGAAGACCCAGAGCTAATTGTGTTGCACCTGGTGCTTACTGAATCTCGAGGCTGGAAATTTTTTTGAACCATGAAACTTTCTGCATTAAAAACAGTACCTTTACACATAAATTTTAACATTATATGGCATTTTCAATACAGATGTTCAGAAGCCATTGTGGCCATCTAATTGCCATTTACTGAAGACTCACAGTTCAGTTGCCGTTTCTGGGATATTGTCCGGAATCTGGGTCAGGCCCTTGTCCCGACAGTCGATGATCCCCTCAGTACAGGTGCACTCCCGGGGACACAGGTTCTCTGCCACACAAGCGTGAGGGTGGGGGTTGTCCACACCCGCTGAAAGAAACACCAGTATGTTCAATTTGAAATCATAGCCAACATTCTTCATATCGGTACACCAAACAGTCAGTTCTAGCTTGGCTGACCAAGTCCCGAGATAGCATTCAGACGCTGGCCCAACGTTGGCAATGGTTTTGCCTACATTGCCAATGTTGGGCCAACATCCGAATGCTATCTGGGTCACTCCTCAAATCACCATTATAAGTTACATAATCACAAATTATCTTTATTATGTACAAAAATGTTGCGATAAATTTCCAACGAAAATAAACACTGATATGAGGCAAATTGCAAAGCTTAATATTTGAATGCTATATGTTCAATAATATTTAGCTGAATCTCTTGATAAATTCCTATCATTTCCAAATATAATATATATTTACAATCCACCAACCATAAAACAGCTTATTTCATAACGTTCTGAATCTTCCACTTAAACATGTAAAACTATATGATTGTCAAACAGATGCCAGATTGTGAAATTTTAGCCACAGTTCAGCTGTCATATACATAAAAAACGAAATATATATCTGCAAAACATTTATCAAGTTATTTCACACTCTGTCTAAGGTTTCATTTGAATGTATTTGCTGCAACAATAAAAGTTGAAGTGTCTTCTCAAATAATATAGTTGTTTGCTGGAAAATATGATGAAACCTAAAAGAAGTTGTCTGGAAAATATAATGGGATAACAATAAAAGCTGAAGTGTCTTCTCAAATAACTTATAGCTGTTTGCTGGAAAATATGATGAAACCTAAAAGTAGTTGTCTGGAAAATATGACAATATCATCTGGACCACATGACCAGACATGTGATGATCATCCCCAACACATGGGTTCCATTGCAGTCATGTTATAGACCCTCTTAAACTGGTCCCTCTTAACCTTTGAGTAGATGACAAACTGCTTGTGTACTTTGTTTCAAAACACACACAGTAACTGAATATCCCTTGGTTCAGACCTTGCTGGAACGAATTACTTTAATGGCTGCCATCTTGTTTCAGAGAGATCTCTTATACTAGTTAATGAGCTTCTGTTTTGGGTGCTTGTTTTTTTGTTGCAAGAAGTATAATTGATGTTTGACTACTGGAGAAATTAGTTGTTTTTACATCGTGTTGTTTTGGAAACAAATCTAGACTGATTGGTAAATATTTAGTGTATTTTGACATACACGTGTCAAGAGGTAAATTACAGTTACCTAGTCTTCGTCTAGAGCAGATCTCATTAACAGTTCTGCAGCAACTCATTATAGTTCATTATTTCAAGTGTATCAACTTCGGATATAGCCTTGATCCAAGGCTGCACAGAGAAAAACTCATTATTTCAATTTTTGTCTTCTTTAATTGGAATGTCTAGACAGGCCAATGATAGTCTTTTACAGCACAAAAAGAAGTTGATAACACTTTTAAAAAATGATTATATTGTTAAAAAGGAATTTAGCCAATATTTCTTTGTTTGATAATAATTAAGAGACAAATCTAAAGATTGCACTCTGTTATTTGAACAAATTGTGTACATGTAAAAATGTAACTGGTAATTTCTTTGGAAACAGTAATTTCCTTTGAGATTATTGCTAGTCTGTCCTTAGTGAGAAAGTAAGACACATTAACCCTAATCAGTAGAAACTGGTCATACCTATATTAGCCTTATCAATATCAAATGGTGTGAGGAAAACGCTATATGTGTTATCAGATTCTGAATCAGGAATGATTCTGTTTACTTGTAACATCATTTGAATTGATTCCTAAATAAATTAGGTTGGTTAGTTAATTATTCAATTTTTCATCCCATTTTAACAAGAAGAATTCCCATGCTGGCTCTCAATAGGGTATTTATGGAAGCCTTTTCATGTGTTTTTTTTACATGGGTTTCAATAATCCTCTATGCTACTCAACCTGCATGGCCACACATATTCACACACGATAAGACACACAGACATGCATGATCAGACACACAAATATACATATCCCATACAGTATTGTTATTTTAAACAAACAGAAGTAATTTTATTTATTCTTAGCATTCTACTGTGTTATGTATCTGTTCTGTATCCAGTGCTAGTCTTAAAGTGTTATACATTGTTGTTTATTTATTTATTTTCTTAATGTCCAGTTTTTATCCTTCCCCTTTACATTCGTTTAATCTTTGAAAACAACAACATTTGGTCATGTTATAACGTACTTAAAATCATTTTGACCACTGTTGATTGCTCAGTGTGATCTGTGAGAGCTCCTCAGATCGTGTGACTGATGTTGTTCGTGTTGTAATGTGTGTGTAATGGATATATGTATTTATTGTAATTCCAGCGTCCATAACGCAAGACAAATTCCCTTCTTGGGCAATAAAGTATTATTATTATTATTATTATAAACACACACATGCATGATCTGAGACACAGAGGCATGACCAGGAACACACATGATCAGACACTCAGACACATGACAACACACACACACACGATCTGAGACACAGACATGACCAAGAACACACATGATCAGACACAGACACACACACACACACACACACACACACACACACACACACACACACACACATCATGAACAGGCACACAGAGACACATGAGACATGAACAGGCACACAGAGACACATGATAATTGATGATTGAGACACACTAACACACAACCAGACACATTAGTGTTGGGAAATGGTTAAAATCTCATAATTGATGATTGGTTCATTACAACCGATCAATCATCGAAAATAATTGGTTAGCATCATTTATGAAATTTGTTAATGCACATAAAAATAAGGAAAAAACCATGTAGTTCTTTTGGGGCTTTTTGGCGAAATTTCACATCTTTAAAGGATGACTAGTATGTTAGGAACATACATTTCTTGGAGCCTTTAAGATAAATTCAATCATGACTTGAAACGAGCTTGAAATGCTTACAAAATGTAACAGACAAAACCAACCATGTGAAAAATATTGTTAATGAAAACAAGTGTTCCAAAATTAGTTGTGTTCGATTATGAGAAATTATGATCGATTGCTTGGTCGTTTAGTCACTACGACCAATCTTCGATTAAATCAATTAATCGGACCACCACTAAGACACATGACAACACACACACAACCAGACACACAGACAAGACCACACACATGATCAGACACACAGACACACATACCAACAGAACCTACAGACCAACCAACCAAATCCACAGATTAACACTGCAGTTTGTCAATACAGAAACTACTTACGAATACACCTGAAGTCCATGTCCTGCAGCTCGGCTATCTCGTTGTTCTTCAAGTGATTCGGCATGGCACACTCGGTGAAGAGAGCCAGAGTTGGGTTTGCTCGCAGCCATCGCGCCAGCCATGCCAGGTGACAGTCACACACCAGGCGGTTGTCACTGATACGTCTGAAATACAGGCAAAGTCACCAGGAGTTCTCAATTATTGAATTATAGTGTGTTGAGATAGTGTTGCCACATCAGTTCTCATCACAAGGAGGCAGGGCATGGGTGTCATGGTGGTCTAAACAGCCATTGTGAAGGCTCACTGAATCTCTCTCTAGCTTCTGAACATCAGAATCAAAAATAGTTCTCATCATTTGGGAGTATGGTTTAACACTGTTTTCAGTCATATTCCAGCAATATCATAGCAGGGTTACATTGGAAATAGACTTTACACATTACCCAAGCTGGGAATAGAACCCAGGCTTTTGGTGTGATGAGTGAATGCTTTACCCACTAGGCTACCCTGGTTGTCCAGTTCTTTTCCTAAGTGAGCAGACGTATGGCTTAAGGTGCAACTGCAACTAGCTGTACACAGTTGCTTAGGGTTCGTTGTGTAATGCCGCACTCAGCAATATTCCAGCTGTATGGTTGCAGTCTGTAAATAATCGAGTCTAGACCAGACAATCCAGTGATCAACAGCATGAGCATCAATCGACGCAATTGGGATATGATGACATGTCCAAGTCAGCAAGGTGGACCCCCGATCCCAATAGTTGCCTCTTATGACAAGCATGGGTTGCAGAAGGCCAAATCTAACCTGGATCTTCATCTTATAAGGGACCAGTAACAATAATAATAATAATAATAATAATATGGATTCTTATATTGTGCTAAACTCCACACCAAAGTGTGCTCAAAGTGCCAACAGACTTCATAGATATAACATGTTTACAAAGAAACACTGAACCAAAATAAGATATTTTTTATGGACATCCAACATGTCCAACAAACAATATTTCTTGCGAAAACTACATGAGGCCAAATTATTTTTTTCCAGCATATTCTGGAAAATATTATGCCTATTTATTAAATAACAATCCAAAGTACATCCCAAATATGAGCTTGTCTTTGAAGTAGTTTTTAACACTGTCCCCTCTGTATATTTTGTGTTATATCCCATCTGTGATAACTATTGCCCTCGGTATATACGTAGTAATCACGCTTTGCATAGTCATCGGTTTGTAAGTCTGCCAAACATTCCAGCTGACAGTTCCACAGTAAGATATTTGTGTCTGCCGATTTCTGATAAACCATCTTACTTCATCTAATTTCACATCCCAGTACAAATACAAATGAGCATTCGCTTCCTTCAACCATGAATGGCTTTACGAGTGCTCCAGACCCATCATCTACCCACCATCCAAATTCCATTCAGACAAAACCTCCTTTAGTCTGTTAATCCTACGTCTCTCAGCACATTTCCCACCTCCCTGGAACCCCCATACATCAAGACACCCAGAGGTCAACTTTTTCTGGCCAGTTTATTCCCACTCAAACAGCTCCTGCCACCTTATTTCAGTAACTGTGTTGAAAGCCATTTCTCACCTGGGCAAGTGAGTGTATTGGCTTACAGGTAAGCATATCACCTTCACACAGCGAGCTGTTTACGATCCTTGTCTAGACATTATCAGTGTAAACATGCCCAGTCGTATTTTACGGACAAAGTATGGCTACTTTTCTCCTGGTCAGTGTAATGAGTTTATGGTTATGGGTCTGTTCGGGGCAGAGGTGCTAAAACATCGGGAATGTGTATCGCGGGTCGTGCATACCATACAGCCAAAATATTGCATGTCTGTTCGTCCTTAATGGCCCCACTGACTCATGGGAGACGAAAAAGTGTCGACTTGAAATCAAAAGGTCAAATTTCAAGGAGTTCATGGAGCGTGTCTGCTACAAGTTGCATCTTCTGGTGTATTATATTGGCCTAAGGGTGCAGCAAGTGCTTTGTACCAACTGGGCCTAGATTTTCAAAGCTCTCTTAGAGCTAAGATAGTTGTAAGTGCCATACATTAACATTAACCTACGACTATCTTAGAGCTAAGAGAAAATCTAGGCCCAGGACAAGATTTCATAAGATAGTGAATAAGAGAGTAAGTGTAGTTTTATGCCGCTTTTAGCAATATTCCAGCAATATCACGACGGGGGGACACCAGAAATGGGCTTCACACATTTTACCCATGTGGGGAATCAAACCCGGGTCTTCGGTGAGATGAGCAAATGCTTTAACCACTAGGCTACCCCACCGCCCCCAGTATTGATGAGGACAGGTTTCAGTCTTTTGTCAGAAACAAGGTGATGCTGTTTATGTTGTCATGAGAAACTCAGGGCTTGTCCAGATCACAGAAGTGGTTGCATGTGTTTTTTTATCAAACCTTACTCCATTCCACAATTATTTATTCATCCGCTCTTCTCCCGTCCTTCCATTATTATTAATACCACCACCCCTGTTCTCCCATCCTCAATCATCTTCCATCCATTTTTAATTTATCTCCATTCCATCTTTCCCTTTATCAGTATCACAACTTCATTATCCCTCCTTTCTTCTTTCTATCATTTGCTCATCGTTTCTCCTCACATCCCTCCATCATTAATGCCACCCCCCTTTCTCCCACCCCTTAATCATTCTCACATGCATCCATCTTTCATCCATACTCAATCCTCCCATCCTAAACAAACCCTTCTCACAGAGTTGCCAGAGTATTCACCCATCATGCTGAAGACCTAGCACTGTTAAACTGTACAATGTGGAGCCACAATCTGGTTCCCTGCCATGATATGTCAGTGGTATTGCCAGAACTTGAGTAAAACCCAACCCACTCACTCAACTAATCAAACAATCAATCATCATCCCAGACAATCAACAGCAGCACCAGCATCAAAAACACCACTTCACCCCACCATCAAAGCCACCATACAAAAAAGCCAACATCAAGGTCACCTCCATGCCAAAAATCATTCTCATCATGCCATACCTTCGCTCCAAACGTCTTATCAGACCAACAGATAAGAGGACTCATTATTGACAAGCAAATGGACACTTCAACTCTGAAGGTTGCATCTGCTCCACAAATCCCCACTATATCAGCCGACCAGATACCATTGGCCATCAGCCCCTACGTCCTCACACCCATGATGGAAACAAATGCCTTTGAATCCTTTAATCCGAGAAGCATGTTAATCATCCGTAATGACCAACTGATACAGAATCCTTCTGAGAGACGATCTTCCTTAATTACTGCACCCTTGACTGCCCAGCGGTCAACTATCTGGACATATAAAGCAAGTGGCTTCTCAGGGTGACAAAACCATACAACTGCTTAGTTTATGATAATGGGTATCGGAAATATAAGTTGCCGTTTTGTATAGGTGAAGAACTAACATGGTGGCTCCTGGATCTGCTTGCTTGGCACCTTAAGATCTGATTACTATCTAGTGATATATCATGGAACACTTACAAGACATGCTAAAAGCATGTTTATCAATAGGGACAATATTAGGATGTTAGCATGTGGTTTGTTTCGAGACAAGGTGGATCTTCTAATCATTGGACTCATGACCTTTGCCTCAAAGCAGAATGGGTGAGTGAGTGAGTTGGTTGGTTTGTTGTTTTACGCTGCACTGAGCAATATCCCAGCTTTATGGCAGCTGTCTGTAAATAATCCAGTCTGGACCAGACAATCCAGTGATCAACAGCATGAGCATCCATCTATGCAAATGGGGGTGAGTAAGATTTGGGTTTAAGATTGTTATGTAATGTACTGGGGTGGTATGCTGCAGAGCTGTCAACCCCTATAGATGGTTTGGAGTGAGATGAAAAAATGTTATGTAGAGAGCGGCGGCCCTGGTGAAGTCTCTGGGGGTGAAGGTATGAAGTTTAGTGGTTTCAGGAGCATTTGGAGCCTTCTGGTGGCATTATTTTGACACTAAAAGATGCCCTGCTAATAAATAATAAGCCCGAGGGTGGTAAACATCGTTTTATACACTTTCAGGCGGTGTTCAACTTTACGCAGACGAAAAGTATAAATGAGACCAGCTACCAGCTGCATGAGATTATTATTTGAGGCGTGAAGCATGACATAAATCAATGGCAAATGCGAGAGTTGACGGGTATGATGCTGGTATGTTGTTTGGACAGCCCTATGTGACCGAGGTGGTAAATGACTTTGGTGAAACTAACTCTGCATAAGCCTATAATCAATGGATCCTGAGTTGACAACTTCTGAGTCTGCATCTGGAACAGTCTGCATCTGGACCCATGGATCCTGGAATAATAAAGGGACACAACTCCGCAAAACTAACTGAGCCTCCGCTGTGCCACCCTGAGTGTCAGGCAAGTTATACTGGGCAATAGGGAACAATCAGTTCAGTTTATTGTCACGTATATTTAACTTCGAAAAAATTCAGTCTGTTATAATGAGTCAAATGTTCCTTCAATCTTATATTGTCAACCTAATTCATAATATTTTATCAACCTAAGAAGTGCAGTTTCTGATGCCACTGAAGAAAAACCAACAATCTCCCTTCCAAATGTGCAGCTTCAATTGCCATTAAAATAACAAGCCAACCCTCTACATGAAAAAAGTGTAGCTCCTAATGCCATTAAAGTTAAGCTAACACTTCCTTGAAGAGACATAACATATTTATTGGTGTTATCCGCCATCACTCATTGTAATGGTGTGAGTCAGACAAATGATGCCAAATAAATACGAAATTCCAAGTATGAGGACATGAAGAGAGTGAACTGTATGACCCTGTGTTATAGCCATTGTTGTATCCTGATATATCGCCATGAACCTGCTGCAAGTCTATCTGCCTATACATCTCTGATACACACAATACTTCTCCAGCATGCACCTCACACATGTGTTATTGTACCCTCTGACTCTGCCACCATCACAGATCACGCCAGTCACAGGTCACATGACAGCTGAAACTTGGTTCCATCTTTCGTCTGGCAGGACTGGTTGCGTGTCTAACACCATTGCCCTTGGGCGGGGACACTTGACTGGTCCTAGGGGACCCCCACAAAGGTCACATCTGGGTGGTAGACTACACAATTTCACCCCATGTTATCCTTAGTGATATGTCAATGGGAAGCGTTCTAGATTGTGACCACTATAGGG